CCTAGCACTTATTTTATGGTTCATTGCTGCTGTTATTTTTATTACTGAGGAGACACCTAGTCCATATTGTTGAATAAATAAATGATTCCTTGGCCACTGACTGGATGGTGGAGCCACTCACTGAGAGAAGGACCAGAGGAAAAGGCATAAGTTTAGAAGGAGAGGAGAGGGAGGCAATTTCCTCCCACAAACATATCAGATAACAGGGTGCTCTGGGTCCTTCTTGGAACTCAGGGTCCCCAGCAGGCTCATGCAGGGGGATGACGAGAAATCTTAACGGTCGATGTGGTACGTGTGACTGTCTATCAGAGAGAATTCAGCCCTCTTGTTAGCAGCCCATCATGAGCCAGATGATAACATTTTAGTTGTTGGATTATGAAGGGCAGGTGCAGGGGGGCAGGATATTCAAGACATTTGGGGTCGTGAGACAATGGATATTTACTAACAGCAGGCAGAGCTGTACCGCTATGTATACATGGAGTCCCAGCCCCGTGCCTGAAGACAGGCAGATTGGAAGACACCAGCTAGGATGGCTGAAGGAGAGACCTCCCCAGCTCCTACCGAGAGACAACTGGAACAGGCCAAAGATTGCAAACACTGATTGGATGCTCACACAGGGCCAGAATGCTGTTTCCAGTGCTTCCTGTAAATTAACTGAAAGGAGAGTAGTTTCCATGAATGTCCTTTTACAGATTAAGAAACTGAGCTGCAGTGAAAGATCGAGTGTGGAGCATTATTTTCAGTAACTTGGAGGTTTTCAGTAGCTTGGCTATGATTACATGGTTAGTAGGTGGCAGGACCAAAATTCAGACACAGACAAAGGCATCTCTCTACTTACCTGCCCTATAAATTGGAGTACAAGGTGGAAAGCAAAAGGAGAAAATCAGCTAGTGGCTACCAAAGAGGTTTGAGGAGGCTCAGTGGTGTTTTGATGGACCAGGAGCTCAAGGGGTAACCAGAAAAGTACTTCTCCAGCTGTTGGGATGGTGTGCTTGTCTCCCACTGGTAGGGTTTCTGAGGAGTTGGAGAGCAAGTGGCAGGAAATATACATGAGATTTGAAACAGTCTGTGGCATTAGAATGGACTTAGTAGATTTGAAAAGTGGGTGCATCATTTATCTTTGGACTCCCAAGTCCAAACATGATCCTGGGTACAAATTATTATTCAAGAAATATTTCTGAATGAGTGCACGAATAAACAAAAAACTTGCTTGATCTTTCTCAAACATAGATCCGATACCACCTCTTATCTCATTTAAATATTCCCAAGGTGTCCTACCAGTTGTGAAGTGGCATCATTGTCTCGGTAAATACCTGGAGTTTGTCATCTTGCACCAAGAAGATTAAGGACAGGGACAGATGTGGGAGGGTCAAAGAGCAGAAAGTTTAATAGGCAATAGAAAGGCAAGAGGAGAGCAGCCTTCTCTCTCCTGAGGGAGAAATGACTGAAAAGGAAAAACTGCAGCAGATTTTATACACACTCAGGCTTGAGGAGGTGGTGTCTGACTTAAGTAGGGCCCACAGATTGGTTTGACCAGGTGTGATATTTACATAGCATGTGGGGAAGGCTGGTCACCCCACCCTAATCTTATTATGCAAATGGGCTTTCCACTTGGCCAGCGCCATCTTGTCTGCTCCTTACTGTACACGTGGCTGGCAAAGAGAAGGGAAGATGGAGTCATCATTTTGATCATGCCTAGTCCCAGGTAGCCTTTTCCTATTGGCACAACTGCCAGCATTCACTCGTGCAAGCTTCCAGCTTGCTTGTCTATGTCTGCAGATCAATTTTACAGGCTGCTCTTTGTTGGAAAAGAACATGATTGGCTGGGTGCAGTGGCTCACACTTGTAATCCCAGCACTTTGGGAGGCCGAGGCAGGCAGATCATGAGGTCAGGAGATCGAGACCATCCTGGTCAACATGGTGAAACCCCGTCTCTACTAAAAATACAAAAATTACCTGGGCCTGGTGCCATGCTCCTACAGTCCCAGCTACTCGGGAGGCTGAGGCAGGAGAATTACTTGAACCTGGGAGGCAGAGGTTGCAGTGAGCTGAGATTGTGCCACTGCACTCCAGCCTGGTGACAGAGTGAGACTCCATCTCAAAAAAAAAAAAAAAAAAAAAAAAAAAAGAGAATATGATTCTGGGGCTGCTTTTCATTAAAAGGAAAACCTTACCAAGGATTCCTGTACCCTCACGATCTGCCTAAGTACTTTCTTCTTAACTCCTACATCAGTTGCAGGATAGTCTAAATGCCTCTTCCTGGATTTCAAGGCCAGCACGATCTCACCTCTGTCTATTATTTCACTGCAACGTCCCCCACACTTGATCTTCCCTGCTGCTGTGTGTGATAGAATCTATTTTGTTGGCCCTCTCAACCTTCTATCCCTCATTTTCAGGTCATTGCAAACCCCCATGCATTTTGGATAGAGGAATTTTCCTTCTGCACAACTCATCTCTGACATGGGGGCTGCCAAACACGCTCATGGGCACGTGACACAGTTGGAACCAATCAGAGTCCTTTCCAGGAATCATATCATCCCAGTTGAAGAGGAAGTCTTCTCTTTCCTCTGGAGCCACTCTCTGGGGTGGTGGAATAATATAAGCCTAGAGCTGTTTGCAGATACCTCTGCCACATGAATCTTGTCCTCACTTGGAGGCAAGGAGCCATATTCACAGAAAAAGAGAAGCAAGACAGACAGACATAGACTCACATACACACACACACACACACACACACACACACACACACGGAGAGAGAGAACAGAGTGAGTGACCACATTGTCATGCCACGTTGCTCGAGTCTCTGCATCCCCTGTCCTATCTGATTTCATGAGCCAATACATTTCTTTAAAAAAAAAAAGTGTAAATTTGAGTTGTGTTTCCTTTATGGGCTAATACAAAGTGTCTTGACTGCTATTCAGCTGTACTGGATTGCTGATGGCTCCCAGAATTCCACGCTGTCTCTGACTTACACCCTTTACAGGTTCGAGAGACACCATGCTAGCCACATGAAGTCCAGGAGGGAAATGCAAGGATGGCTCCTGCGGCCCATTCTCCTTGTTCCCTGGGTTTTTCTTCGGGCTACTCTGTGTGGCCATGTCCAGGTTGCCAGGGGGGTTCTCCTGGACCGCCTCCTTTGTGCTCTCCCCCCATACCTGCTCAGACCCTCTGCTCCTTTGCACTCTCCAGAGTCTGCCTCCTTATGGAGCCTGGCCCCTGACATGGGTTGGCAGCCATTTCTCTCCCTCTGGTTCTGTTGCTGGGTAGGGGCTTTGATTGCAGCAGGCTTCAGACCCTGAGGGTGTGCAGTACGGACTCACAGCAAGTCTCCAAAAGACCTCTAGCACGATGAATTACTCGTGACAATTCTTCCCTCCCTTATCATGCTTGAGACTGTTCATTGGCTTCCCAGCCTTCAGGCACATTTCAGACAGCCAGGCATGAGACAGAGTGAAGGCTTAGAGGCCCTTCCACCATTGCGTTTCAACTGTGTAACAAGACTCAGATGCTACACATGTCAGGTGTTCAGAGGAGGAAGTATGAGGAAAGGCAGGCAGGTTTGGGAGCTGGGAGATGTCACAGATGTGCCAGCCATTGGCAGAAGGGCCAGGCTAGGCCTGGAGTGTTTAAGGCTTTCCCGAGATGGGGTGGGGCTCTGATGACATAGCCTGCAGAGGAGCCTCTGTGGCTTGCCTGATTGACCTTGAGGATACTGGATTGACAGTTTTCAACATGTGACGGGAAAGCTTGGGCAAGGGCTGGTGTTTAGTGAATGTCAGTCCCAGGATTTTGACACTCATTCTCCGAGTCTGAATGGGGTTGGGGCTGACTCAGGGCCTCCTTCTGGGTCAGCTGGTTATTCCTCCTCTGGTGTATGGAGAGGCCTGAACGGCAACGCCATAAGCCTCAATACTTTTTCCATGGTTAGCAAACAAGGTCTCCTTGACTTTGGGCTCCTCCCCAAAACCCCAACCCACCTTGCCTCTTATGTAACCCTGGGCCAGGTGGGCTGTGACAGAAATGGACAGTGTCTGCACTTCATTGCCTCGGGAGCCTCCTGCCCACCTTCCCCTTGCAGTTCCTGTCCATGCCAAGCACCCCTAGCCCTCCTCACTCAACAGATGAGCTGGTCCTCAACAAGCCACCTCTGGGGCTTTCCAGCCTCAAACTGTCTTCATTCTGTGACTCATTAGGAAGATTCTCACCGCTCATGTATTTATGAAGCCCCTGCATGGAGATTCTGGGCTGCCTTTTTTTCTTTGTTTTTCCTCTCTGATTTCCTTCCTACTTCAAGGAGTCTGAGGGCGGATTCACTTTGCTGAGCTTCTGGGCCAGCCCAGCTGAATGGGAGGAAATATCCCAGCATACTTCTTGCCTGGTGATTATGTTTCTCCCAGAGGGTCAGACCAAGAGCCAGAGAATCACATGCTTGCAGCTGGGAGGGAGCAGAGAGGCAGTCTTGCATAGGGGTTCCTTGGGAAGATGATGGGCCCTGACGTGAGACAGATCCCGAGTCTGAAACCAGTCCTGCCATTCACCAGTGTATGACCTGGAACAAGTAATTCCCTGAGCTGTGACTTTTTTTTTTTTTTTTTTACATTGTAAAGTAGAGATTAAAAAACTACTTTGCAGGGTTATTATGAAAATTAAATGGGGTATATCAGAAGTCTGATATTTAATGACCAGTAGCCAGTACTACGCTTGTCTTATCCCAACCTCCTTTAGAGACAGAGGCTGACTTGCCCAAAGTCATGCCCTGAGATGGCGGCAGAATCACAGCTCATCCTGTTTCCCACTCTGAGGCTCTACACAACCTACACTGGCCCCACTAGGTGGGAGACAACAGCCAGGGCAGATGAGCATGATGGGAAAACCTTTCAGTTCTCTGATCATTGCCTGGGGGCAGCACCAGTGGCAGGATTAGCAAACCCACCCCAGGTCCGCTTCCACATCAGCGATGGAGAATAAAGGAACTAGCAGGAAAAAGTCAAATGAAGAAAGCACCCGGAAAATATGTTTTTATGTTCACTTACACGGAAAAAAAAAAAAAAAAATCCAAGTATACAACATGTAGATATATGTTTCTCAGAAAATTCATCTCTATGAACCTGTTTGTTTCAGTCGCAGTTATAATTCAAGAATTGGCAAATGGAAGTCATAAAATTGTGGGGTGGGGGTTGGGGAGGACAGCAGCCAAGGGGAAGGTAGTAATTATGTGCTATTTCTTTTCTAGTTTCAGATAATTTGGAGTTTCAACTTTTCCAGCAAGTCAGTTATATAAACAGACGCCATACCAAAATATGATTGTGTAAAAATATAAAATTCCTAAAGCATGATGGCAATAATATTTTAGGGAAAAAAACATTAAAGTCTGATAGCATCAGAAAATACAAATAGGATCATTTAAGCAGTCCTGTTTCTGTGTACGAACGGCAGTTGCAAATGATGGATGTATGTGAAAGAAAAAAGCATTTGATCTGTATATAACTTAGAAAGCATAACCTTTCTAAACACTGACTTTGTAAGAAAACATGAAGGACATCTTATACTCAACAACAATGGTTTAAAAGGAGGATATAACTGTCTGAAGGATGCGGTGGCATAATGTCATGGCCTTTGTTTTCAACTTGCTCTTAACCTATGTTGGGATGCGTTCACACTGCTGGGTTTCCCGCAGAATCTAGCACCAATATATGGATCAGATTTTGTCTTTGATCTGAGTCCTCTATGTCTTCAGTTTTGAGTGTATTGAGGTATGTTTTCTTTGGTTGCTGTTGTAACGAATGTGTAGTAAAAAAAAAAAAAAGAAAAAAAAACTATAATATTTACAACAATTAAACATTTTAGATCTCAGTGTCAACTCTTCACATAAGAAAACATTGAAAACTTTAAGAATCATTGGAAGGCCATTACTTCCTAGCGTCTGTCATGAAACTGTTTTCGATACACAGAACAATTAGCCGATTAGCACAGCTGTATGCTTTCTGGTCCAGAATCTTCCCCGTGCTCAGCGGGGAGGCAAGTCCCGTGACCGCCGTGTCCGTGGTTCGCCATGCTTCACAGTAGTTATCCACAAGGCGGACACCATGGGGGCTGGAGCCGTGCCAAATGACCTTCTGGGGCCTAAAAAGTAATTTTGTCGTGTTATTTTTCAAAATGACACTTCTTTGTGGTATTTTTTGGTAAGCAAATTGGCATAAGTTTAGTGAATCATGTTAAACTCCTTAACCCTGATGCCAGATTACCTCTCTATCCTCATTGCCCTTGCTAGCTTTCTTAACACACTGGATTCCAGCCACACCCAGGTTGCAGTTGTTTTCAAATCACACCCTCTTCTTTTGTGAATATAAACCTTTGCTCATGGGGTCCCTTAGTCTGGAGGGCTTCTCTTTCATTTTCAGACCAGTGACTCCTTCTCCTCTTTCAAAGGCCAATAAATAACTTCCTCTTGCAGGAAGCCATCTCTAATTCTCACCCCTAAGTAAAAATGAAAACACACATTTCCTGTATATCCTATGGTACCTGTTTCTCCACTTACAATGATAATATTCTGTCTAGAGTCACAGTTAGTGTGTATCTATTTCCTCTGTAGACTGTGAGCCCTGTAAAAGTAGGAGCCGTGTAGGTTTATTACTGTGCCTTCTAGGCCTGGCCTCAGGTCTAGTACAGACTAGGCACTGAGGAGAGGTTTGCTGAGTTGTTCTATTCTGAAAAACACACATAATTTTCAAGATTTAGAGTGCAAATCACAGTGTAGAGTTACAAGATCACCAGGAGTTGCATTGCTTACCACTTGTGATGTGCCCACTGTGTGCTACATGTTTTCATATATATTCATTTTATTCTCACAATGCTATGACATAGACATGGTTATCTTGCCCATTTGACAGGTAAGGCAGCTGAGGTTCAGAGAGTGGAAATATCTTGCCCAGGATTCCATATTGAGTTACTGGATCTGGGTCTTCTGACTCCAAGGACAAGGCTTTCTCTGAGGCCTCAGTTGCCTCACTGTGGCTTTATGTTGGCAATATCCTAGAGAAGCAGCTGATAAAGGCATCCCATTGTTAGGATGCCCCCTAAAACTGTCTATCACACCATATCTGAGAACTTCCAGCCTCACTTACCATGAAGGATCTGTCATTACGTCTCGACCATCAAAGGAGTATATTGGAATATGCATATTGAACTGACCTCCATGGCCAGAAAAAATTGAGTCCCAATTATTAAAAAGTACTTGGCCCTATAGAGACAAAATACCACATTAGAATAATTATACCATCATCCTACAAATGAATTAGATTTTTACTTTTTTTTTTTTTTTAGAGACAGTTTCGGTTTTGTCATCCAGCCAGGCTAGATTGCAATGGTGGGATCTTGGCTCACTGCAATCTCCGCCTCCCAGGTTTAAGCAATTCTCCTACCTCAGCCTCCTGAATAGCTGGGATTACAGGCATGCACCACTACACCCAGCTAATTTTGTATTTTTAGTAGAGGTGGGGTTTCTTCATGTTGGTTAGGCTGGTCTCGAACTTCTGACCTCAAGTGATCCACCCACCTCGGCCTCCCAAAGTGCTGGGATTACAGGCATGCACCACCACACCTGGTCTATTTTTACTCACTCTTCAAGGCCCAGATGCCCCCTCACACTAGAGTCTCCATCCCCAATCCTAGAGCATGGACAGAGTGAAAACTCAAGAAATGTTTGTGGTTTGATTTTATAATCCATTCATGAACACTTTTGCTTTTACTGTCTTATGTCTTGAGGCAATTTCTCTCATTACATGTGTGTACAAGACTCCTTCCCATCAAAAGTGTGTTTTACGTCTTTATTTTATTATTGTTATTTTGAAAATATTACACATATGTACTAAGCTTCAAATTTGTGGCAGATCTTGTGCCAGTCTATGCTGTGGGTGAGTCTACACTGTGGGTGAGATGAAGATGAACTTCTTAGTCCTTTCCCTGAAAGAGCCTGATCCCTTGTAGAGAGATCCAAGAATAAAAGTAATTTCAGTGGGTGAAGGTGCTGGAACAGAATTCTGGGAGAGGAGGTGGAAAGTGCTGGGTATGGGGTTAGGATGGAACTTGCTAGCCTCAAGGTTTCAAATTGGAGTATTGGGGTTGCAGAGATTAAAGGGTCTTGAAGTACCTTTAAGAAACAGTCATCAGGACCCAGAACTTCTCCAGGGTGTGTGTGAGTGGCAACGAGCTTTCTCTTCCTAATGTTGAAGGAGTCTGCTATTTCTGTGGAATAATCGAGGGATCCCACAGGCCCTGTCTTACCCACAAATGGGGCAGAGAAATATCTGCTCAAATGCTCAGAGAACACCAAACCAGGGTTCAGGACAAAGTGCTCTAGTTTGCAGTGATTTTAAGCAAACTGGTTTCTTCTTCTGAGCCTCAGTTTTCTCATCTGACAAACTAAAAAATGAATAATTCTCATGTTTGTTAGAAGTACCTATTAAGATAATGAGGTACTTTGTAAACAAACAAGAAAACCCTGTATCACCTAAAGAAGTTATCATTCTCTCTCTTGTATGCTCCAAGGGTCACACAAGCATAAAGAAAACTGAGGTTCAGGGAAGGCAAAGAACCCGCCCAAAGTGACATAGCCAGTCAGGCAGAGAACGGACTTAAGTCAACAGTCTTCTGTTGATGTCAGGAATGAAAAGTGCCTCCAGCCCCTGTGGCAACCAATGAATGCAGAAGGCAATGGGAACCATATTTATTTTTACCTTGAGGTTCACTATGGGAAGGCTGTATCTCTCTGCTTTCCTCACAATGGTGGACAGATCTTGCAAATGGGAAGATAAGAATGCTCGGTAGGTGGACAACAGTCCTGCAGCTCTGGCCTGCTTGAAGCACTGAAAATCAGCTCGAATGTCCCCAGAAAATGGCATGTTCAGAGCAGCCAAATGCAGCTGAAAAATGTGAGACAAAAGAGAGCAGTCAGAATCAAAGGCAAACTCCAGTCCCCAGAACCATCTCATATTCCTGCAAAGATTCCAGACTTCTTAGGCTGGAGGGCACGTTGAAGGTCATTTTATTCAATCCCTCCATGACATTGGAATTACAGTCTCTGCCTGACCATCTCCAGGAAAGGAGAGCTATGGTCTCCCAAGCAGCCTGTTTCAGCTCTCTGAACAGCTCTAAGTGGTAGAAATATCTTCCTTAGGTGAAAACAAAAACAAACAAACAGAAACAGAACAAAATATTGCTTGGACCAAATAAAGCACTTCAGGGATCTGAATCCACCTGCAGGCCATAAGTTTAGACCTCTGGGTCTGTGCAGGGGTTTTAAGCTGGCTTTGGCCCTGGATCCCAGAGCTTCTCCCAGCTATCTGCCTGCTGCCCTTTCTTCCATCTCCTGGATAAGCCTGGGGCTAATCACATGAGGGGTCTGGGGGAAAGCCACTGAAAGAAGGACATGGCACCTACGACTAAGACTGCTGAGATAGGCCGTTCTGGAAACTAGGGGTCTTATAGTAATTCCAGTCTCATATCCCTGCTATCTTGGTCAGCAGCCAAAATAAAAACCAATCCACAGTCTATTTCTCCCACACTTTGTCTCCCAAAACCCAGCCTCCTCCTACTGTCCTCTCTCTCAGCCTTTCTACCATACCCTCTGAAATGCATTCCATAATCAAGGAACACTCATCTCCCTGCCTCCCATCAGTCTCATCTCGGGGGTAACTTTTATCTCATCAACTTAGAGCTGGAAAGCTGGTGTAGGACCTGGGTCCAAGTTATCAAAAAAGAAAATATTTTTAAATATCTTAAGCCAAAGGACATGAAATGAGGCTCAAGCGGTGGGGTAGGAGGCGGCCAGTGTTTCTCTCCTGGTTTCTACCCCGCCTCTCAGATCTAAACAAAGCCTCTCTGTGTCCCAGTGACCAGGATTGCCATGGTGGTTTTCTGCTTCTCCAGCTTCCAGCCAGTTGGCCACAACTGGCCATGAGCTACAGTGAGTGTCCAGACTGCCCCAAGCAGCCCTTGCACGTCTCTGGATATTTTTCTCCATTCACCACCCCTTTCGTTCCTGCAGAGGACAGACCCCAAGGCTGCCACCTGCTCCAGTCTCTCTCTTTTTATTCATCCTGGTTCTGTCTTGACCACCGTGCTGGATGGAGGTCCAGGTCAAGCGGCATCAAATCCCATCCCCATCTCCTTCCTGCCCTGCACTGAGCCAAGACTTCCCCAGCAGGCGTCCCGGTGGCTAGCATTTTATGCTCTACATTCCCAGCCATTAGGATAAGAGGGAGCTTTAGCATGCTACCCACCCACCACAATCACAGGCCTGTGATTGATGGAATGAGGCTTCCCCAATGCCAGGGGCCACCTAAGAAAGGCATAGGCAGGGGTTTCCTTGCCACACCTCTAATTCCACCAAGCCCTATTCTCCCTTAGACAGACACAGAGAAATGTCTGAAATTACAGTTGTTTCTGAATGACAAGATTGGGGGTTTTTGTGTTCTCATGTTTGTATTTCTTTAATTGTTGGAACATTTTTATAAAACAACATTTTTATATTGTACTTTTATTAAGACAGTAATGTTACAACACTCAAAATGTTAAAATTATTATTTTGTGGATGGTTGTAGTTTTAATAAAATTGTAGGTGTGTTACTATTTTCTTCTCCATTCTTTTCATGCATTGTTAACATTTTCTGCAATGAACACATATTAGTTCTGAATTTATAAAATACCATTTAAAAAATCCTTTAGCTACTACCCTAATTTTGGGGCTTTTTGAAGGGTTACTGATACTCACATCTCTCTTCCTTCACTTCCCACTGACTCTTCAACCAACTAGAGTCTTTTTGGCTACTAAATGCTTTGCTCTAGTTTCTAAATTTGAAGGACACCTTTTGGTTCTTCTTCTGAATTTCCTGGCAGCCTTTGACACTGTTGGCTACTACCTTGCTTGGCTTGCTTTCTTCCTCTCTGGCTATGGCTTCTCAGTTTCCTTCTCATATTTCTCCCATCAGGTCCTTTTCAGTTTTGCTCCTCATAGTCGGATCCCTTCTGACTATACAGATTCTCTTTTGGGAATCCAACCAGCCCCACAATAATTGCACAGCTCATCTCCAGCCAAGATTCCACTGTGGGGTTTCAGACCTTCAGAACCTATTCTCTCTTGGTAGTCTCCACTCAGGTTTCCTCCAGGCACCTCAGACTCACCACGCTCCAAATTAGTTCCTCCTTGGTCAATGGCAGCACAATAGGAAATGCTCACCTCTGTTGTTAGAAAGTGCCCCCACAATCCTTGCTACAAGAAATGGCCTTAGACCTTCAACCTCATTCTCCTGGTAACTCCTGATTGGGCTGGGAGTGGGCAATTGACCCAAGACAGACCATATAAACTATCTCTTCCAAGACTCTGAACTGAGTCAGTAGTACTGGGGTCAGCAGCTATAAGATCACACAGAGTTGGGGCAAGAATCAGTGCCAGGGTAACCCAAAGCTGTGTGCAAGCTCATGTCACCTATGTATGTGTGTTGGGGTGAGGTTGGGAGGAAGAACGACCCTTTCAGAAGGTGGTCTGTAGAGACAGCAAAGCAGACTAGTAGAGACAAGAGTCCCAGGCCTGGCTGTTCTTCCTGTGATGGAGTGCCATGAGGTTTCTTTCTTTTTTTTTTTTTTTGAGATGGAGTCTTGCTCTGTCACCCAGGCTCCAGTGCAGTGGCGTGATCTCGGCTCACTGCAAGCTCCCTCTCCCGAGTTCATGCCATTCTCCTGCCCCAGCCTCCCGAGTAGCTGGGACTACAGGCGCCTGCCACCACGCCCGGCTAATTTTTTTGTATTTTTAGTAGAGTCGGGGTTTCACCATGTTAGCCAGGATGGTCTCGATCTCCTGACCTCGTGATCCACCCGCCTTGGCCTCCCAAAGTGCTGGGATTACAGGTATGAGCCACCATGCCCGACCTTCCATGAGGTTTCTATGCTGAGTTAAACAAGATCTTTACTTAACCTAGCGAAGGAATAGAGATAGAGTCTCTAATCCCAGCAATGAAACAATCCCTGGAAAGGAAACTGTCACCACTCAATCATCCAAGCAGAAACCTGGGCATCATTCTTGACCTCTCTCATCCTTAATGTGCCATATTCAATCAATGACCCCATTAGTCACTCCTACTTCCTTCATGTCTCTCAAATTGCCTACTAGTCTATGTGCTTAATGCTGTGATTCTAGTTCCGATAACACAGGAGCCACCTAACTGGCCTTTGGACCCCTGCTCCTGTCCCTTCTGATTAATCTGCACACTGTAACCAAGGTAATTTCTGAAACACCAGTCTTATCATACCTGTTTCTTGCTTTAAACCCTTCTGTAGCTCCCCATTGCCCACAGAAAATGGTCAAATTTTTTGGCTTGACTTGCAGGCAGGCCCTTGAAATCTAGCCCTTGCTTTTGCTGACTTCCACAGACTAAACATCTCCCTTTTCTGCCTTGAACTCTACTTTTTTGCCTGTAATTTAATACTAGCAATTACAGGAATGTACAGCCCTTCCCCTTGCCTCCCTCTGTTTCATTTCCCTTTGCCTCTTTCTTCCACCTGGCTCACCCCTGACCTCAGCTGTCCTTTGGGTCTTAGTTTGGAGGTAACCTCCTCCAGGCAGACTTCTCTGCCCTTCCTTATACCCCCAGCACCCTGTGTTTGGCTTGCCCAAACAACTTACCACACTGTATTGTAATTCTCTGGTTTTTGTTTGCCTCTCTCACTAGTCTATAAGCATCATGATGGTAGGAACTGTGTACTAAGCATGAGACCCAGCACCTAGTAGATACACACTCAGTAGTAGAAGATTAAATGTATAAATTGTACTTACAGCAGGCTTCTCATAATTGGTACTTGAAACAGGGTTTGGTGGAGGCAGAAGCTGATGTGGCTGTTATGAAAATGAGGAAAAGAAACAGTTCTGAATATGCATTCAATCTGTTCTTCAGCGTGTACTGAGGTGCGAGTGCAATGTTTCTTGAGAAGATGCTTTAAATAGTTTGCCATTGTCTGTAACTGTGACTCTTAACTGTAAAGAGTTTTATGACCTGCTGAAGAAATCATCTTCAGAAAGGGAGAAAAATGTTCTCAAGACTTTTAAAAAGAGCACTGAATCAAGGAAGGGCATTCTTTTTGATAAACCCATGTCTAATCGCCAACTCTTTCACTTAATAGAGAAAGCTACCTCTTCAGAGCCTCAGTTTCATCATCTGCAAAATGGGGATGATAGTACCCACCTCAAAGCATTGCTCTAGGGCTAAAAGATGGACAATGCCAGTTGCCCATGTTCTTATAAGGCAGACGGTGCCAAAAATTAAAGGAATCTTCTAGATTGCTTTTACCAACCAATGACTCCACAGATGAACAAACTGAGGCCAAGAGAGAGGAAGCCCTCTGCAGAAGAGGATTTGGCTATTACATGGGGGCAGCAGGTCTCCAGCCTCTGGATCTAGTTATTCCTCCACTCTATTGTGGGAACCTTCTGTTAGCACCCATTAATTTCTAGGACTTCTTCAGATACTAAACCGTGCACAGCTGACTCTCCAGAGTTTAGAGAGCTTGGTGCTAGATACCAAGCAGGACTCAGGAAATGCTGATAAATGAACGTATGAGCAGTGCAACAGGGTAACTACTCACGTTGCTGGAAAGCGCAGGGGGTGGAGGGCTGTCGGCAGGAATGGGGATCAGTTCTCCTAGCTTTAAGAAAAACAGTACATTGAAATGAAAGATCAATTACAAACTTCTAGAAAAAATGGCATTTATGGGAGTAGATTATTATTTTTAGAGGGTATTTGAAGGCAGTGTGTTAAAGGGAGTTTAGAAATTACCTGTAATTTTTTCCAGCCATCTCTAACGCGAATGAAAAACTCAGTGCTGTCCCTCAGGTAGATGAATGTTCCTTCTATAACCAAATGCGCTTTCTGCAGCATGTCATCCATGTTGCTGAATGCTGTGACCTGTCGGATCATTTAAATTCCAAACACTGCCATTATCATTAGAGCAATGGCACCATCTGATAACCCGGCCTTTCTGTAAAGTCAACTAGGAGCCGTCTCCAGATACTCAATAAAAAGACTTGTTAACATGCCAGATAGAGATATACACCTTCATTAATAACCAAAGGGCATTCTTCTTGATAAAACAAAAACATGTATACTTTGAAACATAAATCTAACCTATAATAAATGAATTAAAACAAAAACGATAATATTCTGCGAGTATAAACACATTTACAAATTGTCAATGGAGTTATCTTTGTTTTGGTTTGGGCATTAGCAAAAGCATTGGTAAGTTTTGTCACTTCTATTTTTTCAAGCTACTTGGTGGCACTAACATGGTTAAATGGTGTTACTTCATGCTAGTCCTTGAAGAGTCTCAAATTTTTCATTTGGAATAAGACAGGCAAGCAAGTGAGCCACTATACTTAAGGTCTTAAATCTTTTTTGTCTAGCCTGGTAGTTACATTAAACGCATGATATAAAATGGAGGTCTGTAATTTCTCTGCCTAGAAAAGTGCCGAAGATTAGACAGCCATTTGGTATATCTAGAAGCACATATAGAAGCTACAAAAATCTATTGAATGGCATCACATCTCAAAGAAACATCAGCCAAGAGAGTTTTTATTTTTCATTGTAACTGAGAAAGATGATAAAATATTAATTTTCACCTAGCCTTGAATATAATGGCTTTGTGCATCAAAATGACTTAGATATCCCCCAAGGGAACTAAATATCAAAATTCCACCATATCCAGGACAGTTCTTTCTTTTGGCAGCCAAATTTTGCAACTAATATCCAGCAAAGATCAAATAACATTCTTAGGACTCCTGACATCCTTGTGAAGTATTTGTCCATTTTTCTGTGAATTACAATAATCTTGGAGTGCTATGTCTTGTTCCAATGAACTGCAGGGTAACGAATGTGTCAGAGATGTTCTTTGGCAGAATGGGGAAGACTGAATTACGCAAGTAAATCTGACCAGCTCAAGGATCTGCTGTAACATTGTTTATGCTCTTGGGCTTTTGTTGTTTTGTTTTTTCTTTTTTTTCTAGAGATGGGGTCTTGATTTTTCACCCAGGCTGGAGTGCAGTGGTACAGTCATGGTTCACTGGAGTCTCAACTTCCCAGGCTCAAGTGATCCTCCCACCTTAGCCTCTCAAGTAGCTGGGACTACAGGTATGCACCACCACACCCAGCTAATTTTTACATTTTTCTGTAGAGGCAGGATCTCACTATGTTGCCCAGGCTAGTCTTGAACTCCTAGACTCAAGCGATCCTCCTGCCTCAGCCTCTCAAAGCACTGGGATTACAGGAGTGAGTCACTGCACCCGAGCAGTGTTTACGCTTTTTGAAATACTGTGATTGGTGGCCAGGCATGGTGGCTCGTGTCTGTAATCCCAGCACTTTGGGAGGCCAAGATGGGAGAATCACTTGAGCGCACGAGTTCAAGACCAGCCTGGGCAACGTGACAAAAACCATCTCTACAAAAACAAAAACAAAAATTAGCCAGGTGTGGTAGTGTGCATCTGTAGTCCCAGCTACTCTGGAGGCTAAGGTGAGAGGATTACCTGAGCTCAGGGAGGTTGAGGCTACAGTTAGCTGTGATCTCAGCATTGCACTCCAGCTTGGGTGACAGAGGGAGACCCTGTCCACCCCTCATCTCGCAAATAAATAAATAAATAAATAATATGATTGGTTCTTATTATAACTTAGTCAATTAAGGATTCGAATGGTAGAACTTACATATAAATGATTTTGTTTTTCATGTCTTTTTACTTAATAAGTCATCCAAATAGATAATAAATCCCTTCTACTATTTATGGAATAGCACCAAACCTACTGTCATGAAGGCCTGATTCCCAAGTGATGTCAGACACAGGAGATTGTAGCCAGAGTTTTAAGTAAATCCATCCCAAATGGAATGATGATGACACATTGATAATAATACTGACCAGGTTTCTGGATCCTGGAAGCCCTGGCTGTCCTGGAGGGCCAGGGGGACCTGGAAGGGCCACAGCTAAGACAAAACAGAAAAGAGAAGTTATACAAAAACCACCCTCTGAAAAATGTCTGAGGTATCATCTGATTCCCAGAGAAAAGTGTGTTCAACCCCATTCACAGTGCCACAAAGCATCCCAACTTCCACCTGTATCTCGGGTGCTCTGCCTGCAACGTATGACTTAGGCCACATTGACTGGTTCAGGGAAAAGCTGGAATTCTTCATTGTTACCCTGGATGAAGCCATGGCTAGTGCTTTTCCATTTCAAAAGTGAATGAATTCCTTTTGTGGTTGTTTTATAAAAGCCAGTTTAAGTTGAATATTTTGTCACTTGCATTCAAAAATATCCTGACTCATACAACTTACTTCACCCAAGAGACAAGCATGTGACACTGAACAGAGGAAGTAGGCTCAGAAAGAGGAAGAGAAGGCTCTAGGGAGTGGGAGGAGACCAGGGTGGTGCAGTGACAGCAACCCTGGCCTTGAGGCCAGAGACATGGACTCAAGTCCTTAGTTTGTCCATTCCTAGCTGTGTGATCTCGAGGAAACAGCAAGCTCTCTGAAGCTTTTTCCTCTTATGCAAAATGTAAAATAGGCATTTCTTCTTCCCTGGGCTGTGGTGAGAACTGAGTGCTTTGCAAATTGTACCTGCACAGCATTCATTTGACCAAGGGCTCTTAGCTTTTGAAGAGTCACAGTGCCCTTAAAAATCAGAACAATGTTATTGCCCTCTTTACAAAAAAAAAAAAAAAAAAAATTCAACAAAAAAAAAAAAAAAAAAAAATTACTGGGATGACAAATCCTGGAGGTATATCCTTGGACTCTCTAGGAGTCTATGATTCCTCAACTGAAAAGCCCTTACTTTAGGCTAACATAAAGTAGTATTATTACAACTATTCCTTTGGCTGTTCTTCTACCTCTCTCATCTTCTGCTCACCCTACTGCCGACACCTCCTCCAAATGTGCCAAGCTCTTGGCAGAATTAAGGGTGTTTTTACAAGTCCCAGTAAAATTATACAATTCTTCAGGTCGTTGCAAGCACATGTTCAGTTCCAACATAGGACTTGAACATCCACACATAGGTGGCAAATGTCTAGTGGATAGAGGGCCAGTGGGCTCGGATTTGGATCCCAGCCATGCCTCTTAATAGAATTTGTGACCTCGAGTAAGTCTCTTCACCTCTGTGGAGCTTCAGTGTCTTCATCCGTGAGATGAATTTTCTAATAATACCTGTTTTATCTTCCTCCCAGGGTTGCTGTGAAGATTAAATGGGATAATGGCCATGAAAGTGTTTTGTAAACTGAATTGCTATACATTATGTGAGAAGCATTCCTTGCTCAATGCAGCAAGGCATCCCAGGAGCCCTAATGTAGTGTTGCCGTGGACAACAGATTTTCTCCACCTTGCACTCACCCTGTAATATGCCTCCAACTCCTGCAGTCCTACTCCTCCCTCATGGCTGTGTGGGCACCTATGGTTCCATTCACTCAGCACCTTCTTCCTTTGTAGGACCAATGTCCTCATCTCCTTCTCTTGGGACCTTCCCTTCACCTCTACAACCATTTGGTTCCAGAAAGAGCTACCATGTTCTCATGTAATCTGACTGACTGGTCATAGGGGATTGGTCCAAGATTGGGTACCTTGCCCAAGTCAGGCCCATCAGGACCCTTCTCTAGGACTTCCCCATCCCAGGACTTTTCAAACTAAAATAGTAAAAGAAGTTCAAGATTTCTAGCTGACAGTGGAAGCTATAAGTTGTCAGTAACCATATTTCCCGCTGTGCAGAGGATGTGGTTTGTGGTGAGGAAGTATGAAATTGCATGCAGAGAGAAGCGGAGACAAGAGATGGCCAGAAAATCCTTGCAGGGGTTGAGTCCCTGGCTCTGGCTGTTCCTGAGGTCCAGCTGCTTATCTACCTCTCCCACAAGTTGATTGTTCATTCCCTCCTTCACACCTGGTACATTTCCCCTTTGCTTGAGCTACTTTGAGTTAGGTTTCTATCACTTGCAGCCAAATGATCTAAGGCTAAGTCAAAGCTCCAGCCCCAAAGTCACCTCTAGTGTAAAGCTCTCCTTATGCCAAGGACTCTGTACGCTTCCACCATACCTGGCTCCTGCCAAGCCAAACAACAAAAAAGTATGCCTTCATGCTATTATTGCTGCTATTATTGTCTCCTGCAACAGACATAGTAGAAATAACACAGGCTTTGGAGCTACACTGCTCTGGGTCTGAATCCTGTTGTGTCATTTATTAGCTGTGTGATCTTGGAAAAGTTCCTAAATATCTCTGGGCCTCACTTTCCTTACCTGTAAAATGGGGATATTAATGCTTTTTTTAAAGGGCTGCTGTAAGGTTTCAATAAAATACCATAGTAAAGTGATTAGCAGAATGCCTGGCATCTGATACATGCTTATTACATAGAGATTTTCTTTAATTTCGCCCATTTTGCATTTGAGGAGGTGACGCTCTAAGGGATGAATAGATTTTTAAATAGAGTTCCAGTCACTGCTGGTCATTAAGGCAGGTTCTCATGCACCTAAGGCATTGACAAAGCAGCCAGGAAGTTTCCACTCACACGTGAAAAGACGCTCAACATCATTAGTCATTAGGGAAATGCAAACCAAAACCACAGCGAGATATCACTTCATACCCAGTAGGATAGCTATAATAAAAAAGATACAATGAGGATACCATAATACGGGAGGAGAAATTGGAACCTCCTCATACACTGCCACTGCTGGTGGGAATGCGAAATGTTGTGACTCCTTCGGAAAACAGTCTGGCAGTTCCCAAAAAGTTAAACATAGAGTTACCATATGACCCAGCAATTTCTCCTACATATATACCGAAGAGAACAGAAAACATGTTCACATAAAAACTTGTACATGAAAGTTCATAGCAGCGTTATTCATAATAGCCAAAAAGTAGAAACAACCCAAATGTCCATGAACAGATGAATGAAAAAACAAAATGTATATCCTATACAATGCAATATTATTTGGCCACAGTAAGGAATGAACTGCTGATCCATGCTGCAACGTGGGTGAACCTTGAAAACACTGTGTTAAGTGAAAGAAGTCAGACTCAAAGAGCCATATATTATATGATTCCATTTATGTGAAATGTCCAGAATAGGCAAATCCAGAGGCAGAAGTAGATTCATGGTTGCCCAGATCTGGTAGAGGAGAGGGGAAGAGAGAAAAGGTACAACTGCTAATTGGTACAAAATTTCTTTTTGGTGTGATGAAAATGGCCTAGAATTAGACAGTGGTGATGACTGCATGCATAACTTCGTGAATATATTAAAAACTACTAGATTAGACACTATAAGTGGGTGAACTTTATGATGTGCAAATTATATCTCAATCTTAAAAAAAGGAAAGAAGGCTGTATCCAGGAAAGCCCTGTGTTAGGCAGTGCAGCTGTGACAAGCCACCCAGATGAGGTGAACTTGAGCACAATGGTAGGGACAGCGTGAACAAGGGCACTGCTTCCAGCACTAACCTGCTCCCAGGATAGCCGGAGGTCCTGGTGGCCCTGGGGGTCCCGGTGGCCCAGGATCACCAGGTCTTCCAAAGCCAGGTGGCCCAGGCAGACCAGGAGCACCTGGGGGTCCTTGGGGCCCAACGACTGTCTCCCCTTTCTGGCCCTGTCAAGGCAAGCACACAGTAACAGAGAGAAAGAATCATTCATCACTAGAAGTCCCATCTAGTCCTTTTATGAGAATATTTAAAAGAAATCAATAAACACCAGCTATTGTTATTACTATCCTCAATCCTGGGCACAATTCAAGGTGGGGTAAGGCCTCCAAGATGGCAGCCCAGTCATTATGTTAAATAACTCTACAGAGAACCCCAGAGAGCCCTGGAGGCAGAAGGGACCTTGGAGATCATGTAGTCTAGCCTTTGCATTTCACAGATGGAGAAACTGAAGCCCAGAGAAGTGAAAGGACTTGCCCAAGATCATGAAGCAAATTAGAGGCACAGCTAGAGGCAGAACTCTGATCTCTGGCTTTGCTGGTTCTACCCTCACAGTGAGCTCTGGGACCAAAGGACAATGACCTGGTCATATTCTTGTCGGGGGCACAGCTTGACTTTCTCTCCTTTCACCTCTCATCCTAGGAAAAACCTCTCATCCTAGGAAAACCACACCTATCTAGGAGCTCCTCTGATAAAATTTCAGAAGAATCAAATAGCTCCTCTGAAAATGTCTCCCTTACCTTCCATTCTGCTTCTGTTATCTGATGCATTCACCATTAATCATTCTTTGTGTGGAGTAAATTTTCCACACATTTCATGAATAAGGCAGTGTGACTAATGGCCTAGAAGTTACCTACCTTCATGTGGCCTTGGCCAGCTACCGTCTCTCCAGGGACCTCAGCCAACCTCCCCATCAATCAACAAGGATGGGGAAAGAGCTGGCTGATCCCCAAGCTCTGCCTCCAGCTTACAGTACAATGACTAGCCCTAACTGCTTAGTCCCATTGGGAGCTTCCGGGAAAGCTGTAAGGCCTCGGGGAAAATGACTTGGAGGGGTCTCTACTCACAGCCAGGCCTGGATTTCCGGGCAGGCCTGGAGGCCCAGACATAAGGAAGCCATCATTAATGTCTCCTTTTTCTCCTTTTTCACCTTTGAACCCCTTGTCTCCATTCTCCCCCTGGAAGCAGAGAACATAGGAATATTTCAGTAAGAGTGGGATGAACTCAGTCTCTGACATAAACCAAAACATGAAAAACACACTCCAAATATTGGTAGAGAAACACTCACTTTCAAGTTGTTCAGAAAGTGTCTCAGGTAAGCTAGATCAAGTGGAGGACCTGAAAAAGAAATGCTTCGTAAAATTCACGATTGTAATTTAAGAAATTTAAAATAAAAGTCTCTAAGTTGGCAACCACAGTTACGTCTTAGTGGACATGACCCTGCACTGGGTTGGCTAACAGAGTCTGCTTGCAAGCAAAAACAGGTGCTACTGTGGGCCCATCAACCCAGACACTGTGGGATCCCAGGTAGGTTCCTGGCCCTCTTTGGACCTTGTTTTGCATATAAAAGATGAATGATTGGATTTTCTGGTCTCTCTTAACCATGTTCCATATTGGATACACCAGGCCCATGCTTGGGTCTCACTAGAAACCAGTGGAGCCTGTGGTCAGGGTGGAATGTCATTAGTCTTACCCTCTGGCTAGGTCACATTTCTCAGTTGCATTTGTTCTCAGGAGCAAAAAATCAAAGGCAAGATTGAGAACAAGAGCTGGAATACCTGGTGGTCCCTGGGCTCCCTGGTCGCCTTTTTCTCCCTTTGAGCCAGGAAGACCCCAGGATCCTTTCTCTCCTTTAACACCTGCAACAAAACACATACATGTTAAAAAAAAAAAAAATCAAAAATCACCTTCATTCCACATAAAACCTTTCTGAGACAGTTTTTCAAACCGAGCTCATTTAGCAAAGTCCACTCAAACAAGGCCCTCCTGAGAAATCAACAAGTGTAAAATCATAAAGAGGGCACAGGTAGATGCTTCAGACACATTCTCAACCTTGAAAAGCTCGGTCTACTGGGAGACAGACACAGCTCACAGTAACGCAAGGCAAGATGAAATATGTGCTCTCACTGAGGTTCCAGCAGCGCATCCCGGGAGTGCAGCAGAGCCTGCAGCTAACCCTGGCTTGGACAGTGCCACGAATGAAGACAGAGGCTCAGCGCCATGTCAATCTTCCAGACTCATCCATCTAGGCCTGTGCAGCATGGGGGTGTGAGGGAAGGAGAGGGTTCTCCCAAGAGTGCCCGCACAGGACAACCAAGGGCGCTAAGTTTTCTACTTACAAAGTTGTGAGAATGCCCACCATGCAGTGTTGTACATCCCCACAGGACTGGTGAGAAACACCTTTTCTGCAGAACTGGCATTCCATCCCTACCTTTCCCCTCAACTCTTTATATGGGAGGGGGCATGGAAGAAAGCCTTTTGGGAGATCACTGCTTGGGAAGGGAAGTGGTTCCCTTTCCCCACCTTGATGGGTAGCGTGGACGCTAGGTCTTTGAATTCCTCATTCCCAAGAGGTGTGGCAGATCAACCCAACAATGCTCTTGAGCCTAGAGATGGGGCCACAAAGTGTAGATGAGGGTAGGGGCTCAGGCTTTCTCAACGAAGGGGAGGGAATATGAGCATCACAGTCATGATGGTGTCAGCAGGGGGTCAGTAGGGAGCGGCAACTACATCCATCAAGGCCTCTCCAACCCTGGGAATGCTGTGTGAGACCCATGACCTGGGCAGTGGGGCCCATGGGGCCTCCCTCACCCACACTGAGCCCACAGACAGCAGTGATCAGAAGAGCAGACAGCAAGTGCACAAGCACCGACTGGAGCAATAGTGGCTGCACACAGTAAGCAGGATGATTGCCCACTAGGAGCTGTCACATCCAGAAAGATCTGTTCCCTCCCCCTCCTTCCAGGGGAGGCTCATAGGGAAGAGAAACAGTTGGAGAGCTGAGAAAACAAATCTGGCTCCATCCCCTGCTCCCTAAAGTCCAACTTGTACCAGGGGAAAGGGGTGCCTTGAACTGAATCTAAGCATAGATTTTAGAAACAGGCTGGGCTTGGTAAGCAGAAGTGACAGAAAAACCATGGGGTCAGATAACATCAGGGAGACCACCACCTGGTGGGCTGGGGTGATACAGCCAAGCTGAAGGTGAATATTGAAGAAAAAAGATCTTCCCCTATTTAAGCCCCAAGTGGCATGACAGGGTGTGTGGGACAGGGGCACCAGAGTGACTGCTCACCTTCAGGCCCCGTCCCCTGGCCTGTCCCTCTCTGATGTGCCATAGCAAAGCTCCTGCATGTGGCTATGAACATGCTGACATTTACTAATGAAACCCTCTGAGCCAGCATTTCTCACACTTTGCTGTGCACACGCCTCACCTGGGAGATGGTTAAAACATGGGTTCTGATTCAGCAGGTCTAGGGTGGGGCCTGAAGTCCTGCATTTCTAACAAGCTCCCAGAAGATGCTTACAAAGTTGCATGGACACTGAGGCAAGGGTCTCCTGATCAGCCCTTCCCTGATCAGCTCTTGGTATACTGCACTTAATTGTTTTAAAAATAGTTTCACTTATCAGGTTCCAAGAGCCTGAGAGGCAGGAACAGTGCTTCCCAGGCTCTTGGAATCTGTCTCAGCCCAGTGTGGATCATACCAAGTAAGGAACAGGCATCAGTGAATGTTTTATGAATAAATGAACAATTGAAAGAACAGAGTGCTTGTTGCCAACTAGGAGGCTCAGCTAAGATAAGCAGAATAGACACATGTGTGACCAAACCAAAGAGAGGTGCACAGCCCCACAGCCTTGGCTCAGCTGCCACCTCCAACCCTACAGCATCCAGTTAGACCTTCCTGACCACCTAGTCTGCGTCCAGCACTGGGCAAAGAAAAACCACCTTCCTCAAGGAGATGGCCCAGAGAAACAAATGATGAAGAAGGGAGTGTATACCGTGAAAGGTGATGAGCTCTGGACTCCCGGGATGAGAAGTATCAACCTGGAAAGAGAGGAAATCCAGGTCAGGCACTGCAAGCTCTGCCGTGGTGTTTGCAGACACAGGCAGCCACTGTCCTGGGGGCATGTGACAAAAAAGGCAATGCCACAGAGCCAGGCCTTCCTTTGGCTCTGGAGTCCCCCAAAGCCCTGAATCCCCAGCAGTTCTCAATGCACAGACATCCCAGGCTTTCAGCTGGGAGACCCATGATGTAGTTGGGCTGGGGAGACAGAGCTAAGACCTACTGGCCAAAAAACTCAGTCGTAGGGAAGCCCAAAGCTTTAAGACAACAAATTGTGGCAGTGTTGGTTTGGCCAACTATGAGCATTCTTGTCTTCCTGTCCTATCACTTGGGATTGATTCATATATGAGATCAAGCATCCGAGCAAGTGACATGCCCAGCCATGAAGCTGGGTCAGCCATTAGCTTTGCTATTGCACCTAATCAAAGATGAGCCTCATGAGCAGGTAATTAGCAAAGGGGGTTATCATTAGATTGGGAGTGGCTATTCTGGACTCCTCATTAGGTTCCAGGGGTCTAGAGTCCAAGCTGTTCTGGATAATATTCCTTCCCAGATTTCCCCAGATTCCTGCATTTCCTTCTCTGTTAAGACAAGGCCACTTGTAACCTGGCTTCTTCCCAGCTGATGTGTGGAATCAAAGTCATCCGTCTGGTGCCAAAATCCTTCTATGCTTAGGGTGGAGGGTCACAAACTGCTCAAAGGCCACCAAGAAAAAATGGGAGTGGGGAGGAAATATTCCATTAAAAACATTTATAAGTTAAGGATGAAGTTTGCAGCTCCAAGCTGTTATCTTACAGGCTATGCTGATAAAGTTTCTCCACTACAGACATGAGCTGTAAATGATTAGGGTGTTGGAAGGAGCTGAAACTATAAGGGGTTCATGAAATGCTGACTGTAAGAGGAAGCATTTCTGTCTCAAAATGCCCATTTTGAGAGTTGGACAAGAAATGTCCATGACCCAGCTCCTATAGTATCTAGCCAGGTAATATGAAGTAAAAAATCTTACTAAAAATGCTTTGAGCCTATCTTTTCCTTCTTTTAGGTATCCCACGACCCCCAAAAACCATGGTTACTGCAAGAGTTCCTGGAGCAGGTCATGATCATTGCAGTAGTATTTTTATAGCACTCTAAAATTTGTCAAGTGCTGTTCTGTGGTTGGCTCATTTGAGGCCTGAAATCATGTTAGTTGGGAGGGGCTTCGGCACTAACTCACTGTGTGACCTGGAGCCAGCCCTTTGCTTCTCTGGGCTGTGGTCTCTCCTGTGTGATAAGGAGGTGGGATGCAGCAACTGCCCAGGAAGGTCACTCCAGCACTGATATTTTATGTTTCTCTTCAGGCCATGGATATAAACATATACTGGGTTGCTATTGTCTCCATGTAGAGCCTGGAGCCCCTTAGTCACCTGATATAGGTAGGTCCTGCCCTCTAGGCCAGAGTTCCCAGGCCCTGGGCTGCAGACTTGGATGCCTCAGTGTGTAGACTTAGCCAGATGTCTGGGCAAATATGCAGCCAAACTGTGTCATTTTGTAGCCTCTGACCCAAGTCTTAGCATCACCTCCAACAGGGATCAATTATGAACTCACGTCAAAGAATATTTCTAAATTGTAATTTGCAAGCTCCTGAGAGCGGAGGCCACGCCCGTCTAGTTCACCCTTGTGTCCCCAGGGCCTACCTGGGGTAGTACTTGGTACTGCATAAGTGCTCAATAAATATTTGTTGAATGAATGAGAGAATGATTATGTATGGTTCTGTGACTAATGCCTGTGCACAAGGCCCACCCTCCCCTCTGGGTTTTCTCACAGAAATCTGACTCTCTTCCTATGGGTAAAACATCAGGGACAGAGGGGCTCAATAGTTGGGGGGCCAGGCAAGTGCTTGACTCCTCAGAATCCCAGTGTCTGCACCTGCTGCCTGGTGGTTAGGAGACTTGCGTTACAGTCCAAGCTCAGTCAAGTCCTGTGACCTTGGACAAGCCAGTGAGCTTCTCTGAGTCACAGTTTGTTCCCTTATTATAAAGTGGGAGAGAGAAGCCCTGCCTGTCAGTGTTGTGCGCTGTGCAGTGACGTGATCACTGGGAAAGGGCAATACAGTTAGTTACAGATTTTAGCCCAAAGTCCCCAATGCAAAGACCATGGGTTGGCATGGCTTGTTTTCTCATCTATGTTTTCTAAGGGGTCTATTTTTCCCAATTTTATACTACTCCAAGCATGAAGCTAATGTGATCGCAATAACAAAAGACACTGCTTTTTAGATTGTATGAAAAGAAGCACCTCACCGTGTGTGCACCCTTAGAAGATGCAGTATATTTCATTGCCACAATCTGTTATCTAAAAGCTTCTAGTCACTTGAGGGTCTACACTTAGGGGATAGAAGACATCCAAGAGGACATTTGAAGATAGAAAGGGCCCAAGACAAAGACTGATTTTTTTCTCTGAGTTGCTATGTATGCCAAAGCCTGCTCTTTAAGGCAGTGATTGCTACTTACTGGCATTTTGCAGTGTGGTCGGATGGGTATTGGGAAAATGGCCTGTGGGTAACGAGAACGAGAGAGGTGAGGTCACCAGGACACCTGACTCCAGCTTAGACCAATCGGGAAGGTCTTCCCACCCCATGCCAACTTACTCCTTTGATGTTAATCACAGCTCCAGGTGGCCCAGGGGGGCCTGGAGGGCCAGGTAAGCCAGGTGGACCCTGAAGGAAGAAAAAAAGGCCATTCCATTAGTTCAGGTTGTTGTGAGTGCAGGGGCAGCTGCAGGACATTTCCTCCAGAGGAAGAAAAGGAGGGTCCACTGAAGCCAACCAACTTCTCTCTCAGGTTGCCCAGGGAGCCACAGAGCACTTCTATGTCCCTGTCCTCCCTGTATCTTTACAACAAACCATAGGGAGGATGGCAGAGCAACAAGTATTGTCTCTGGTTAACACATGCAGCTAATGAGCCTCAGAGAGGGGAGGTGACCTGCTCAAGACCACACAGCAGCTTACAGCAGAACGAGATTGCAACTCAGATTCTGACTCCCAGTTGATACTGAGCCTAAGGCCTCCCTATCAGTGCATTCCCAATATAGGAGTGGGAATGGACTGTGCGGGTCCCTCATGTGATATATTGCCAGAGGGAATGTGTCTCAGAAATGCAAGCATAAATGTAAAACTCTTGTTAGATAGTTTTTTCAAAGTGAGGCCAGCTTGGCCTTAATACCATGCAACAGTTTCTCCTCTAAGCCTAGACGCAGGAGCTTGCAGCAGGAGAGGTGCGGCTCTGAGGGCAGGCATGAAGAGTTTAGCCCATGTGGAAGGTGTATTGATGACTCTAAATGAAGGCATCAGTATCTGGTTTACCTTCCAGTTCCAGTTGGCTTGGTGAGTGAGAGTCAACCCCTAATGCTTCAGGAAAATAGTATTTCTGGATTTCTGGGCATACAAAGCAGAAGCAGTGTAGCACAAACCGAAGCAGCAATAGACTCAGAGCTGTGTTTACATCTTGGTTTGGGGATTATTAGCTGGGTCACCTTGGCTGGGTGCCTTGACTTCTATAGGCCCCAGTATCCTCTTATGTAAAACAAGACCCCTGCATAGTGTCTCATGCAATAGTTATCACCAAGACTAAACGAGAAACTCTCCTTAAAATCACTTTGCACAGTGTCTGGTACATAGCAGCTGCTGAATAAACATTGACTTTTTTCTCCTAGACCAGGGTCCCTGCTGCTGCCCAGTGTTTGCTAACCTGGGAGGCCCCACTTAAGTAGCCTATCTGCCTTTGATACTGACTTCCAGCACTCACTGAGCCCCTAGTGATGTGAGTGAACCCTGGGACTGTGTAAAGGAGGGGAGAGGTGACATTACTGTAGAATTAGAGGCCCTGGGGTTTGGAACCACATTTTCTGAGCATGACCAGATCCCTTTCTCCCCTACTCCCTTTGAGTCCTACATAAGGAAGTCTACTCTCCACTGAGGTGTTTTAGGTGGCAGGACCCTCCTGAGAGGGAGATGAAGGACAGGACTGGGTGGGAGGACCTTTGGCAGTGGCAATGAAGGAATAAGAACAACATTCCTGAATATTCAGTCCACAGGCCCTGCTCTGTGGACCCCACACTCTCTCACCCTCTCTGGACACCAACCTCCGGCTCCATCCTCAGGATGACTCACCTGCATAATGACCCCTGGATCTCCTTTGGCACCCTTGAGGCCATTCAGTCCTGGGCGACCCTGGAACCCACAGCAGACACCTCAGTAAACCCTCTGCCCACAGACCAGCCTGGCCCACGTGTCCTCCCCCTCCAGCCTGTCCAATGAACGCTGATACCTACAGGTCGTCCGGGGAGACCAAATTCTCCTTTATGTCCTGGTGGTCCTTTGGGCCCCTAGAGGCAAAACAAATGCCAGATTAGAAAAGAACAGAAAGTCTGGGTTCAGGGAAATGAGGGGTGCAAGCCTGCTTTTGCAGGCAGTGGTGACGATGATCCACTGACAGGAGAAAGAAGGGCAGGGAGCCAGGTCGAAGCCCCCTCCCGCAGCCTCTTTGTCTCCAGCCTCTCCGCTCTCGGCTAGAAGCACCTGCTCAACCCACTCCATCGCCTGCTTTCCTGCAGGCTCCAGCCCACCCCAGACTCTGGACCCATCCCGTTGCAGTCAGGGCTAACTAAGGAGCAAGAGGTCAGTAGCTCAGGGCCTCAACTCCCCAGTAGCCAGGCGCTAGGCCAGCCCAGAACATGAATCTCTGCCCTAGGTCTTATGTCCCAGGGCTTACCGCATCCCGCATTCTGAATAATGCAACCTTGCCTCACCCACCAGGCCAGCCTGGCCTGATAACCCACTCTAGGATTTGGTTCCTTCCTTGCTCTAACTTGCCCCTAGGAACCAGAGTCTTGGTCTGACACCCCAGTCCTCCAGCTGAGTTCCTGACCATGGGTCCTATTTCAGGGCTGGCTTTCCAGGACCACAGGCTTCTAGAGCCACTGTTCTGTTGCAATCTTCAGGAACCCTCCTGCCTTCTAGTGTCTGGGATGCAAACCACTTGGTTGACAACACCATTGATTATGTACCTCTTCCTAGAACACATTCTACCCTCGGTCTGCGCCTTTCCAACCCTGCAGCTGGGTCTGCTGTGTCTCCCAGAGGAATGACTGGTTTAAACCTGGGGCACTCCAAGTTCCTTTTCCTCCTACCATTAACATACATAACCATGATCTGAAAAATGGCAAATAAAAACTGAGTTGAAACAGGGTCAGTAGGTAAAGTACCTAGTCTGTATTACTTTTAGGGAAAGAAAAGCAAAGCCAGATGGGGTTGACAGGGCACAGGCCACTTGGTTGGTATGTTCTAGTGCAACACTTCCTGATATGGTTTGCCTTTGTGTGCCCACCCAAATCTCATCTTGAATTGTAATTCCATAACCCCCACATGTCATGGGAGGGACCTGGTGGGAGGTCATTGAATCATGGAGGCAGTTAAACCCTGCCGTTCTCATGACAGTGAATGAGTTCTCCCTAGATCTGATGGTTTTATAGGTGTCTGGTGTTTCCCCTGCTGGCACTCATTCTCTCTCCTGCTGCCCTGTGAAGAGATGCCTCCCACCATGATTGTAAGTTTCCTGAGGACTCCTAGCCATGTGGTACTATGAGTCAATTAAACCGCTTTTCTTTATAAATTATCCAGTCTCGGTATTTCTTCATAGCGGCGTGAGAATGGACTAATACACTTCCTAAACATCAATGTGCATTAAGAATCACCTGGATCTTGTTAAAAATGCAGATCCAGTATGTCTTGGGTGGGGCCTGAGGTTCTACAGTTCTAAGAAGTTCCCAAGTGATGTCAGTGATGCTGGTGCATGGTCTACACTTTGTGTAAGAGGACACCAGTGAATTTGAGGAGTTATAAGCTACACTGGTCACTAAGGCCACAGCTAGCCCATACAGCACCTTCATGCAAATTAGAAGAAGGTGCCACTTACTGCCTATGTTTGGCAAGCTGTGCCCAAGCTGGGCTTCAGTAGGAACCACTGCCATGGCATCTGCAGCAGCCTGCTGGCCCCCACCACTAACTATTGTATTTTCCACAGTATTGGAGGTTAGTAGGTGGTTAACCAGTAGTTAACACAAGAATCTTTCAGTCTGTCTTAGCTACTTGACTTTCGGTGCCCACTCTTCCTGACTTTGGGGACCAAAGGCCTCAGAAGGTCTTTTGAAGAATTCACCTCAAAAGTTACAGGCCATTCTTCAAGGATACAAGTCTGTTACAGAAATATGAGGTCCTTTCTCCCCACAACTGAGATCCAGCTTCAACCAAATAAACCTGTAGACAATTCTGCAGCCCAAAATGTTTCAAATGTTCAGTGTTTCAAATATATTCATTAGAGGCAGTGAGGTTCATTTGAGAAGAGCCTGGACCTAGAGCCTGACAGGCTGGCCTCAAATCCCCACTCTGCCACTTACAATCTGTGTCACATGGGCAGATTACTTAACCTTTTTGAGCCTGAGTTTCCTCCTCTATAAAATGGGGATTCTGAGAGTCACTTCTTGGGGTTGTGAAGATGAAATGAGATGGCCTATGTGAAGCATCAATACAGTCTGACCCAGAAAGAATGTTCTACACAGGGAAGGAAGTTTAGGGTTCACCTTTGGAGAAATGGGGAGAGCTGCTCAGAAGCCCAGATGGGTTATGGATTCCCAGAGCCATAAGGCCAGAAGGGCCCTAATACCATTTAGTACTAATTCAATCCCTTCAATGTGCAGATGGGAAAACAGGAGCCCAGAGAGAGAGGAGGGCTTGCACAAGGTCTCACAGCAAATGAGTGGCATATTCACAACCAAAATCAAAAATCCCAGAGAGGTTTTGTGGGGTTCCCTTGAGGGTTTCCTGGGAAATTGGTCATCTTTCAGCTGGCAAGTTCTGTGGTATAACTGCAAGTGCACCTCTCCTTCCTGGACACACAGCTAAACTACACTCTGAGGCCACAGGCATCTGAGTTTTGGCTTATGGAATGTGCCAGAAGTGATGGCTTATGGAATGTGCCAGAAGTGATGTTTATTATCTTCCACAACCTCTTCCCCCTCCCCAACTTCAGCCTGCCAGCTCCTGTGCGACCTTGAATCCACAAGATGGCAGAGTCACAGAATGGAAGCATCCTGGGTCCCTGAGTCACTTCTTGGAGGAGAGATGCCAAGCTGAGAACAACCACAGTGGACTTTGCAAGAGCGAGAAATAAGCTGCTGTTGTGTTAAATCACTGAAAAGTTTATTTAATTGTAGTTAGCCTTACCCTAGCATATGCACACTTTGCCACATCTTTGCATTTTCATAACTGGGACGACTAAATCTAACCAAATCAAAGTATGAAAAATGCTTCAAACCCCAGTCAAGATCCAGCTAAGAGATGCTCTGGCTTACCATTGGTCCTGGGGCTCCGTGCATTCCAGGTTCACCCTAAAACAGGAAGAGATGTACTTGTCACTGTTTGGAACAGAAACAAAGATGGGAAGCTGAGGCAGATATGTGTCTGCAGGGTCTGGTGACATAATTACCTTTTTCCCCATCAGCCTTTCCAGAGGAATGTCCCCTGTCAGGATGGCACCCGGCTCTCCCTTCTCACCCTGCAATTCAGAAAACATCTTGATGAAGTCAGGACTCCTCCTTGCCACCTTGTCCAGAGAGTTTTGTACAGAGACTCCTCCTTGCCACCTTGTACAGAGTCCTCTCAGTCCTACAGCCATGATTTATTTACCTTGCCTTCGTCCTACTTGAAACCCCACTGCGGCCGGGCGCGGTGGCTCACGCCTGTAATCCCAGCACTTTGGGAGGCCGAGGCGGGCGGATCACAAGGTTAGGAGATCGAGACCATGGTGAAACCCCGTCTCTACTAAAAATAGAAAAAATTAGCCGGGCGCAGTGGCGGGCGCCTGTAGTCCCAGCTCCTCGGGAGGCTGAGGCAGGAGAATGGCGTGAACCCGGGAGGCGGAGCTTGCAGTGAGCCGAGATTGCGCCACTGCACTCCAACCTGGGCGACAGAGCGAGACTCCGTCTCAAAAAAAAAAAAAAAAAAAAAGAAACCCCACTGCTCCAAAATTACCTCTTGCTAGAGTATTGCAACAGTTTCCTAAATGAATGAATGTTCTCTCAGCCATTCCCTCTCTGCACCATCAGAGTTACTGTCCTAAGGCACAGGACAGTCCTGTCTTCTATGTCCCTTCAGGGCTCCCACTGATAACAGATTTGCATCCTCACTGTCAACCCTCCAGGATCCAGCCCCAGTGTAGTCCTGTCTACCTCCTGCCACATGGTGCCCTCAAGGAACCTCTGGCTCCCAATGTATTTGATAGCTTGCTTTCCTAGCAACTCAACCTGAGATCTGTTCCCATCAAGAATACTTACTCTTGTTAAAACACCTGAAATTAGGAAAGAGATGAGAGTATAAAGACTAGAGGGCTCTGTCAACATGGAGGCCTTGTGTCTCCATATGTAACGTTGCATCCAAACTCTAAGCTCCTGTGCAAACACTTAGTTAGGCAAAGCTATCCCAGATACTGGGAAATGGGTGATGGGTAGACTGGTGGCAAGAACACAGGATCCTGCCCCCAATCCTGTCCTCAGCAGAGCCATCTACTACGCTAGAGGCTGCTGAGAAGATGCTTGTCCAGAGAACAAGGTCAGATGCAGAAACCTTCTATCTGACTCTGAGGCTTTGGCCCTAAACTTCAACGCAGGCCCCTGGGGAGCAGGGCTGAGCCACAAGAAGTCTCCTTTTAATGGGGCTGAGAGTAGCTACGACAGTGGCATCAAAGCAAGCAGAGCAGCCTCTTTCTTCCATTCCCCTAAGCCCACAGCTGGTATTTAGATCTTACCACTCCGCTGGTGAGGAAAGGTAGTCCTGAGCACGCCAGTAGGGAGAAGAAGCAAGCACAAAAGCATTAGAGGCAGAGTGAGAGAAAGGTGTTTGCTGCAATGGCCGGAGCAGAGCCGCCTGGCTGCCTGTGCCAGTCATTCAAGGTGGCAGGAGGTTAGGGCGCGGATGTCACATCTGTCCCTCCAGATCCATCTGACCTCACCACATAGGAAACAGAGTGTTTAAAGCAAGAGGTGCTCTTGCTTCACTGGGCCTCCTCCCAAGCCTGAGCTGGCCAGCCCTGGTCCATCTCCACAGGCCTGTGGCAGCAAAAGCATCCCAAGACACATTCCCATGTGATGCCAAACCTTCACCCGGCATACCGAGCCCTCCATGCCCTGGAGCAGTGGCCCAGTAGATATTGGAGGCCCTCTCCTCCTTGGAGATCATTATAGAACGGTGGGGGGAGAGAAGAACGAGAGGAGCTTCAGTTCCCCCCTCCCAGAGAGCACATCCACCCTCCTTGACTCCCCATGGCAGGCTCAGGGGGTTGCACAGTGCTCCCACTGGCTTTGCACAGAGCTCCATTCCAGCTGTAAACATGTGCTCTGTTAGCTCTTTGCATAGCTCTTCCTCATCTTATTTCTATATCCCTAGTGCCTAGCACAGGAAACTGCCTGGCACACGGCAGGGGTCAGTGGATGAAAGATGGATGAGTGTATACATGGACGGGTGAATACATTAATCTGTTTACGGACGTCACTCTCCCCCTTATCTATAAAAACCAACTGGAAAGTTAATTCTAAGAGGCAAACACAAAAGAATACAAGCACAACAATAGGTTTGGTACCCTGGGAGTTCTCAGGAAGTGTTCTGTGTGCTAAATATTTATTCCAGAGATTTTGGACCAAGACTGTTGTTCAACTGCAGAATGCCCAACTTATAATTTACAAATATTAACATTTGTTCTATTCATTAATTATACATGCTTCTGCCCACAAGTGTATTCAGTACCATTTGTATACCAGGCCCCGTATTAGTATTGGAGCTAAGAAAAAGAAGCTGGCAGGATGCCTGTCCTCAGGCAGTGCATGTTCTAATGGGATGCCCAGCAGGTGATTCGACAAAGCACAGTGTGTGTGAGAACAAAGGAGTGTTGAGTAGAGTTCTCTTTCCAAATTATGATAAAAATCAATTTCACTACCCACTTCGTACCTTCTCGTCTCATAGAGAACCCGGAGATTAAAAACGTTAACAGTGGGACAGTGACTGCTAATAAGTATGGGGTTTCTTTCTGGCATGATGAACGTGTTCTAGAATTACGGAGTAGTTCATGAGGTTGTACAACCTTATGAGCCCGCTGAAAATCACTGAATTGTATAATTTAAAGGGGTAAATTTTATGGTATGTGAATTTTATCTCAAAGAAGAGAAAAGTTAATAGCTACTTTCAGCCAACCTGAAATATTTAGCAAATTCCAGAGCCAGATACATGGGCCCCTCTTACCTGTTCTCCTTTTAGTCCTGGAAAGCCAGGCAAACCAGTGTCACCTTTTGGTCCTCTAGGGCCCTGGAAGGAATTGTTATATAGTATTTGGTTGTTTGTTAAGATTAAAATGTATAAATCAATCAGAAATATATATATTTTTCCAAACAGTAGAATAGACACTGCTATCCCCTAGGCAGGTGGAAGTCAGGATTAATCTATGACATTTTCTTAACCTTAAGTGGTCCAGAAATTGTGGTCTGGTAGAAAGAAGATAGCACTGAGTGTTGAGGCTTCACACTTCTTTAAACATTGGTTTCCTCCAACTGGGTACTACAGATCCAGTCCATCATCTGGGCCTGCTGCCTCTGCTTGCCCCCGGCTCCTCCAGGCCACCTTGCAGCCTCCCTCCTCCACTATTCCCTTCCACGACTCCCACCCCTTCTCTGGATCTCCATTACCTATGAGATGGGACACAGGTACCTTAGCCTGGCACCACAGCCCATCCCAGCCAGGCATCAGTATCTCATCTCCCACACCATCAGGTTGACTCCTTTCCTGCAGCCTCTCTGCACTCCCCCATTGCCTCTGCACCAGCACTCATGCCATCCCCCCATAGGAATGCCCACCCACCCCTCTGCAGAGCCAAATCCACACACGCAGCCAGAGGCAACCTCTTCTCAACTCCAACAGACACTGAATGCCTGTGACAATGACTCACACAGCCACATTTGCCTCAAAAAGGCATTTCAACACTTTCTTGCTATTTTAACTTTTCACAAGTTCCTGTCTTGTCTGGATGAAAGAGTGAATTACCCATTACAGCAGTGGCTTTCAACTCTTTGTTATTATTGTTTAGCAGTGAAACTCTTTTCTTTCCTTTTTTTTTGCCAAATAAAGTCTTAAATGAAAGCCTAATATATACAAATATGTCCAGTGAAGCTTCCCTTATTGCAGGTCAGTGGCCTGGTATGTGCCTATTTGGCCCCCTCCTTACTCCCTGCAGTGGAGGTCCTGGACTCCCTCAGGAACACAGGACCACTCATTTAGAGGAGAATGTGCCCCAGGTCTTGGAGCAGCCAAGCCAGGGCTGGAGCTCAGGGGTTTGGCCTTTTCTTCTGCTAACCAAGAGTCATGGTCATAGTCATGGCCATGGTCGCCATTCTCTCTTTTGTTTTTTAATGTCTAGTTAGCAGTATTTTTAGTGTTATCATATAATATGCGCCTTTAGAAAATGTAAAAAGTTCAGAAAATCAGCCAGGCTTAGTGACTCATGCTTGTAATCCCAGCACTTTGGGAGGCTGAGGCAGATCGATTGTTTGAGTTTAGGAGTTCCAGACCACCCTGGGCAACATGGTAAATCCCCATGTCTAGCAAAAATACAAAAAATTAGCTAGGCATGGTGGCACATGACTGTAGTCCCAGCTGCTCGGGAGGCTGAGGTGGGAGGATCACTTGAGCTTGGGGGGCAGAGGTTGCAGTGAGCCACTGCACTCCAGCCTGGATGACCAGAGTGAGAACCTGTCTCAAAATAAAAATAAATAAATAAAACATTCAGAAAATTATAAAGAAATAGAAAAGGAGGCCACTGATCATTCTACCATCAAGAACAAATTTCTATTACATTTGTGATACATTTCCTTCATTCATCCAGAAGCAGTGCATGTCACGCATTGGCATTAGGCCTTTCAGAGCTGCAGTGCTTTGGAGAAATCACCCAGGTCCCACACTGAAGCCACGCCTGACTTTTAGACAGGCTCAAACTTTCAGACAAAACTAATCTCTTTCCACACAGAAGCATGTTTTCACCTTCCATGGTGAAAGCCCCATAGTGGTGCACACAGATGATTACTTATTAGATGTCTAGTCCATGGTTCCCTCCTTTGCACCCCCTCCATCGCCATCGTCCTATCTCTTTAGGGATTTATCTACTTGAAATACTTGACTCCTCCACTTTCATTCATAGCAAGCCAACTGCTGTTTCAGGTTTTGATTGGTCCTGGATAGAGAGAGATAAGTAAAACCCAACCCTCCACAAGTTGTTCACAGGATGGTCAAGAAAAAAAAAGGCAAGGGCACAAATAACTGTTATTTAAGGCAGAAAAGAACCACAGGAGTGGTGACAATAAAGCCTTATGGGACTTAAAGAAGGGGACACTTCCAGGTGGGAGCACCAAGAAAAAGTTAACCAACAAGATGCCACTGGAGCTCAGTCATGCAGAGATGGAGGGAATGTCATTCCACGTGGAAGGAACAGAATGATCGTTGCCACGGGGCACAGATAGAAGAGGGCGAGGGTCGTACTTACCGGAAATCCTGGCAGCCCAGGCAACCCGTCCGGCCCCTGTGACATGCCAAAGACAGAAATTAAGAGCAGCATTTCCAGAGTCAGCAGGACCCCTCCCTCCCAGCCCCTTCCAAAGGCCTCAGCATGCTCCCACAGCTGGGAAGACAGATTGACACAGCATTAGGGATGAAGGGGCCCTGTGAGGGTCTGGATTTGCCAAGGGGAGGACAGCGACTGGAAAGAAAGCAAGGAAAAGAGAGAAGGGGTGGAGGCATGGTAATGCAGGCAGACAAGGCCCAGGGACTGTGAGGACAGGGATGCCCAATCTCTGGTTTTAGTCTGTCTGTGTTTTGCTTCAGTATCCACCCACCTAATACCTGAAACCTCCAATAGCTTGGGGAAAACAAAGACCTCTTGGGAAGAAACTTTCACTTGTTATCTGGTTTGCTCTAGGGTTTCGTTATTGAGGTATTTTGGATTATTTGTTTTCATGGAAATCAAATGGATGCAGTACAGAGGAGACAGGAAGATAGCTCACAATGAGAGGTCACTCAGCAGGGGAGAAACCTGGTGCCAGAAGAGTCTGCAGATATTTGCAGGAATCTTGGGGCAGCACTAGATTTTCCCCTGGACCTGGATGAATGGGTTTCAGGGCAACCTCACGGGGATCTGCAGGAGAGGCTGGGACATCTGCATTGCACAGCTGTGAAGGTATAAACCTGTCTCCACAATGACTTGCACAGAGCGTCACAGTGTGCTAAGCAGCTTCACATCCCTCATTTCTTACAAGTTGCCTCAAAGGCTGGTGAAGTGTCATCAGAGAAGAGAATCAGGGGCTTAGAGTGGTGTGTGGAGAAGATGGGGCTGGAACCCCAAGGCTCCCAAAGCCAGAGCTCCTTCCTTTCCCTGCTGCTGAGCAGCAGATGCTGGGAGATGCAATGAGGATTTATTCTACAGGCTGTAGGAGGAAGCTTCCTTCGTCTAAGGGCCATTGTGCCATGAGTCAACTCTGCCAACATGCAGAAATAATGCATATTTCGGGTTTTTTGTTTGTTTGTTTTGAGACAGAGTCTCGCTGTCACCCAGACTGGAGTGCCATTGTGCAATCTTGGCTCACTGCAACTCCCGCCTGCCAGGTTCAAGTGATTCTCGTGCCTCAGCCTCCCGAGTAGCTAGGATTACAGGCACACGCCACCATGCCCAGCTAATTGTTGTATTTTTAGTAGAGACAGGGTTTCAACATGTTGGCCAGGCTGGTCTCAAACTCCTGATCTCGTGATCTGCCTGCCTCAGCCTCCCAAAGTGCTGAGATTACAGGCGTGAGCCACCACGTCTGGCCAAAAATAACGTATATTTCTTATATACATTATAGCCCCATTTTAGAGATCTGGAAATTAACACACAGATAATTTCCAGATTTCTAAAATGGGGCTATAAAGACTAGAATGAGCCCATTTCCTCCTCACGCTCCAGTTTCCCTTGAGCACAAGGAAAGATGTCTCCAGGCTCCTCCTATTCTGTGAAATAAGATAACGTAAATAAAAGCAGGCCAAAAGTGTGCAACAGACATTATTTGTTTGTTACTTGGCATTCTCTGATTTCCAGGACACATATTTCTGGTGCACAGGACTGGAAGCTTCCACTGCTTTGGACACAACTTTCCACACGATCAAATTAATGTGAAAGCAACTTTTCAAAAAGTGCAAAGCTTTCTTTCCATTCTATTTGATATATCCTAGCTCTGTGCTTCAGGAGCTAAAGGGATTCCAGAGCAACCCGACTTTGTTTCAACAGGGGCGCCTGGGGAAAAGCCACATTCTGAGGCAGCTGTAGATACCAACCGGAGGCCCCACCAGCTCAGGAATGTCCGAGAAATTCATGAATCCATGGGTGATATTGATCAAGGACTGAAAAGAGAAAAATCAGACAATGAGGACAAAGGATGGCATGTGTTCTGCCTTGTTCCTGGCAACAAAGCTTTAATTAAAGTCACCCAGCATAGCAGAACACCGCAGACACTGAGAACGCCCTCAGCCCACTGCCAAACACAGCTCTCCCGCCCCCTTCCTATAAAACAGCTCTGAGCCGCCTTCGCACTTTCCTCCTTTACTTAATTTTTAAATCACACAATATCCGAATGGCTTCTCTTTTTAGAATTTAAACATATACATATTACATGCACCCACAGAAAACACAGTGTTGGGGTGTGTGTGTTTGTCCATGTGGTTATTTTACATAAATGGCATCAGGCTGTATTACTCCTCAACTTGCTTTTTTCACTCGGCCATATTGTGTGGAGATCTTTCCATGTGGAATTTTGGAATATGGATATTTTTAGCTTTAAAAGACTGCCAAAGAGCCATCCAAAAGGGCCAATTTACACTTCCACCAGAAGTACACGAGATTACCTTTTTCCCCATACACTTACACATATTTGATTTTTAAAAATCATGTGTTTTTTTTTTCTTCTAACTTTAGTCATCCTTTTTCCAGTTATTTGGGGCTTGTCTTTCTGTGGTCTACCAGCATGATGTTATTTCTCTCTGAAGGGCCAGGATTTTTCATGATGTGATGTCTTAATAGCAAAAGGACACGATCTGGTCCCAGCCCACATTCCAGCCTTCTCTCCAATTTCCATCATTCTCCACACATGCCCATGCACATTATCCCCTGCCAGTCAGCTCCCTGGGCCTGGAGCACACACCACATTGTCCTACTATCTGCTTTGGCTCAGGGCGTCCCTGCCACTAGAACTTTGGAAGTTTTGTCCTCCATGCCTACCTGGTAAACTCCTTCTCAGCTTTCCAGTCCCTGCTCAAAGATACTTCCTCCAGGAAGTCTTCCTTGATTCCTCATATCCCAAACAGTCTTTTCTCCCTTGTTCCTGTCTTTATGTTCCTTTGCCTCTCAGTTACAGCTCTATTACAGCCTTTCTCCTGACTTCACTGGAGGCTCCTTGAAGGTAGGAACTCTGTCTTACTTATTTGTATTTTTAATTTTTTTAATTAGAAACTTTTTAAATATCAGAGACAGGGTCTTGCTATGTTGCCCAGGCTGGTCTCGAGCTCTTGGGCTCGAGCAGTCCTCCTGCCTCAGTCTCTCAAAGTGCTGAGATTACAGGTGTGAGCCACTGTGCCTGGCCTTACTTATCTTTACACCCACAGAGCCTAGCATGGACCTGATGCAGAGTGCATGCTCATGAGTGCTTATGCCAGAATATTTAATATAGGAATAGATAATTCAATGACACCCAACATTTCATCCAGCAAACACTGATTAAACCAGCACTATGAGGCCAGTGGTGGGGATACAGAGAAGGAAAAAAACCCCAGAGGGCAGGTGGAGGAGTCAGACATGTAAATAGGCCATTGCTGTACCATGATGGGGGTTTGAAGGATGAAGTTACTGCCTTCCTTGTTGAGGAGAGTTGGGAAGAAGATGCTTTCCTCCATTTGTGTGGACATCTTCCCATGTGGGATTTTGGAGAATGGGTATTTTTAGCTTTAGTTTTAACAGACTATCAAAGAGTCATCTAAAGGTAGCACACAAAGATGTTTCCTGTGACATGAAAGATGTAATCCTTGGCTTCTCTTGGCTTCTGTACCCTCTCCGTGGTGAGGTGGAGGGACCTTCCTGATGGGCAGTTTTGTAAGCACCCAGGGGCATGCCCAGCTCAGCCACACTTCTTTCCTTCAGATCTCCCTGCCTCTGGGAAGCACATCCATCAACCCATGGATAAGTCCATCTGATTGGCAGGAACATGTGGCTCTCCCACTGGGTGAAGTCCCTCTACCTAACCTCCATCAGTAATCAAGGTGGTATCTGGGCCTACCTCCTGGCCTACCTCCTCATCTTTGGCTTTATTTCTCAATGTGCTCTGCACTTGGCTGGGGAAGGCATGCACTGCTTGTCTGGGGCTTTTTCAGGACCCCAACATCTCTAATACTCCTAGCCTGTTTTTTCAATTGACCCCAAATGCTAATCAGAAGAGACAAATCTGGAAGCACCATGCGAGAGAACAGCGGAACTGGGGGAGGAACAGACAGGTGCTGGCAGGTGGAAGTTCTAACACCAGGCACCGGCTACATGCCCCCTGCATAGCCAGTAGCTCTGAAGTCATGGACAACCTTCTCTTCCCTTTGGCAAAGTTGGAAAATTTGTAGACAAGCTCTGACCTGGATGATACTCACACTAGACAAGACCTCGATGCGCCCAGGTGGCCCTCTTGGCCCAGGGGGTCCCACAATACTGGCTCCATCCGTCCCCCTTTCTCCCTGGTCAAAGCAGCAAGAAGTGAGAAAAAATTCACTGTACAGGGATGATGCTCCTAGAACCAGGCAGGAAAGCCTTCCCACCCCCACCTCTGTGACCTCTGTGATCTCACCTTGGGTCCCTGGTCTCCTTTCTCTCCTTTGGGACCCTGGAAAAATAAACAAACATAAATATTCTTCTAGTCACTTTGCTCACCTCCATCTAGCCTCTTGTCTCGCTATCTCCCCCTAAGTTTTTATGCTTATTTTGTCCCAGGCAATGGGAACCAAGGATAAGCGAAAAATACCCCTTCTGAAGTCAGAAGGAAGCAACACCCCACAGAATGAGAGAATCAGAGGCCCTCTCCCAGCACTGGGTAAGGGTCCTCTTTACCCTGAATCTTAGGGCCCTTTGCCTCTGGGGAATGAGGGAGGTCTGCTCATTCAGTCATGGGAGGGGCCGTGCTGCTCCCTCCTAGACTAAAAGGCTCAGCTCTGGGTCCCATTTAACATAGAGAATGAAATCCAGGGGATTGGTCCTCCTGAGAGCCCGCATCACATCATGGTAGGAGATGGACAACACCTGCCAGGGGCTGGAGGCAGTAGGGAGGGGCACCTGTCAGGAGCACAGGGCTTTGACCTGGGGCAAAGTGTGTGCATTGAATGGCGCAAACGGAGGGAGGAATAAGTCGAGATGCTTAGTGGTAAGAGACTGAAGTGGGAGAGGGAGAGAGAGAAATAGATGAAGAGAGATAAAAATGATTTTCACGTTCTCTTTCCACATCATGTTTTCTGCAAAACTTCTACGCTGCTCCTCAAAGACACAAGCTGTAAAGAGCATCTCATTTCCCTATTGCACAGCTGGGGGCTGGAGGCATAGAGAAGGTGAGTTATTGAAAGCGGCAGAGCCGGGATGCAGCCCACAGCTTCCTCACTGTAGCGTGACAGTGTGACAACCCTCATAATGAAGGTTTCAGAGGTGACCTACGATTGCAGCCGTTGGTCTGGAGAGTTTAGGTTCACTCAATAGCTGGGTGCTTCCAGAGCCTTCGGTATCCTGGGGAACGAGCAAGAATGAGAATTTCAGATCCAGTTCCTGAGCACCTACTTGTGCCAGGTGTGGTGTTGGAAGCTGGCAGCTCACATGGGAATCTGCACAGCCTCTGCCCTGAGACCAGGGTTTAGCTAGCTGGTCTTTCCAGGAGCCCTTAGTACACATCATTTTTATAACCACAGAAAAGGGGAAAAGTACCTCGAATCCAAGTCCCATTGTGCATCCAGGGCCTGGGGGCCCAGGGGGTCCAGGAGGCCCTGGGGGTCCCATGGCCCCAGGGGGGCCAGCTTGTCCCTTTTTCCCCGGGGGTCCAGGTAAGCCTCTGTTGCCAGGGTCACCCTGTAGGAAAGAGGGCAGGCTGATTATCCAGCCCTGGGTTCACTCATGGAAGGAACAACACGCATGCCTGAATCAGAAAATCACTCTTTGAAGTTAATTAGGTTGATGAATTCTCCGATCGGTACTGCTTAATGGTACAGAAACAGCTGTCTTGTTAATTGACATTTCACTTGGAGATAAGCTGATGCACTCATCTGAATGCATTTGGAGGGAGGGGTGAGGAAGGAGAAAACATCGAAGGCTGTTTACTCCCCACCATCCCCAGCTGTTCTGCCTTCTCTGAGCAATTCCTTTGAGATGTGTTCCTCTCTGTTCCTTGACATTTATATGTTCAATATTCCAGACCAGCAGTCCAATTATAGTAAACTCAAAGAAAGGGAAGGAGGGAGAAGAAAGCTCTTTTTTTTTGTTGTTTTACCTTTTCACCAACTGAGCCATTAGGTCCTCTTGCTCCCTGAAAAAAACAAAAACAAAAACAAGGACCAATTAATGCATATCTCATTGGGTATGTTCTGAAGTCAATGCACAATTATGGGCTCTTAGGTAATAGGATATTAAAATAGGACTCCTTCTGTCTCAGACTTTTGGTGTCTCCAAACCAAATACATTACAATAGGGGCCAGTTTGTTGGGCAGGTCCTGCTGAAAGCTTGTGAAACCCAATTTTCAGCCATCAGCTCATCACCTACCTCAAGAGTAAACCAGAGAAGTTAAAGATTAATGAGGGAGAGATCATAGAAGACTTCGCTTGGAGAGCTCCCAGTGGACTGGAGTGGTCCCCTTCCCGTGACGGAGGTAGAGGGGACTTCACCCACTCTAAAGCGAGGGAAGGGGCCTCAAGATCTGAAATGTATCCCCTAGATTTTTGGAAATATGGGGGATGATGACTGGCTGTCTTCTGGAAAGAACTAAAGACCCAAAGCTGGCTGGAGTAGTCCCCAGAAGACGGAATCAGGGAGGAGGTTGCAATAGAGCAAATTGCATGGCCATGCCCAGTGGGGACCACACTACAGTTTCCCGGGGGTTAGATGCAGATCTTACAGAAAGGAGTCTGCTGTGAGCTCCAAGCAGAGGGGAGGACCAAAGGGCATGGGTGGTCAGAAGTGGTCAGCTATGGGGACACTGGCCTACATCAGAGGACTGCGGTAGGGGGGCCCCAGATGGAGAATCTCTGAGAAAACCACAAATGCAGCTGCAAGAGATGAAGTCAGCAATTGCATGGCCACACAGGAGATCCTGAGAGCGATGCTGATGTACCAGCCATCAAAGACTATGTCTTTCCCCCCAGTCATTTTTGTTTCTGGGCTACAGTCTCCTTCTTATATCAAATCCATGGAAATGAGAGAATGGATAGTTCTAAAATAGCCATGCTCAAAAATAAGATGGGGAGTGGCATTAGATCCAAAATAGAAATGGCAAAGGGAAAACAGGGAAGTTGAAGACAGGGGCCTCAGCCATCAAGAGAAACCAAAGGGAGAAAAGTCTGCTGCAAAGCCGTGATGGAAGTCAGGTGCATGATGTGGCCCCTGGGCCCCAGAAGGGAGACAGGCTGAAATTCTGCAGGAAGCTAGCTGTCCAGCCCTGCCCATCTCCCCTCCCCTCCCACCCTCACTCCTGCCAAGGAGAAAATATGGGTACCTTAATTTCAGAAAAATAAGAGTTGCTTATTGGGCCAAAGACATAGGGCAGAGCCCCAGATGACTAGGAAACTCTGTGAGGTCCAGGAGCACCCTACACACGGAAGATGAGCCACTGAGGTGCCCTGCTTGATGGCACATCTTATTCCTTCCACCCCCTTCCTGAACCCTGTGTGTCTCAGAAGGGGCTACTGCCCACCTCCCAACAGTCTGCACCAACAGAGGCATAAAACAGGCTCAGGCAGGATCCCAATTTCACAAGTAAACACACAAGAGAGAAACACAAACATCTGAGGCAAGGCAACACTGTGAGAAACAATTAATTCAACTATAGAATTACATCCAAGGAAATGGAGTTAAGAAAACAATCCAATAGGACATTGAGTGTAAGACATACGTTCTCACAGAGAAAAGGGAGGATAACATAGCCATGAAACAAAGACACACCATTATGAAATAAAAACAGTGGTTATGAAAAAGAACCAGTTAGAGATCTTGGAAATTATAAATAGAAAACTGTCAAAATGCAGAACTCTGCAGAAGGACTGCATAACAGAATAGACCCACCTGAAGAGAGAATTAATACAGAGATCAGGCTACAGAATTCTCCCAGAAAGCAACAGGAGAGGGTAAAAAGACCTAGACAGAATGACAAAGTAGTAAGAGAGACGGAAGCCACAATTGGAAGTTCCAACATTGGTTTAATTGGAGTGGCAGAGGAGAGAATAAAGAGATAGAAGGAATGCAGTGTTTAAATTTTCTGAAAAAACACAGAAGTCTCCAGATTAAAAGGCACCCCCCAAACCCCACCCCCCCAAAAAAAAGCATAGAGTACCAAGAAGGATAAATGAAATACTACATTTAAAAAATAATTCACATTGGCCGGGCGCAGTGGCTCAGGCCTGTAATCCCAGCACTTTGGGATGCTGAGGCGGGTGGATCACAAGGTCAGGCGTTTGAGACCAGCCTGGCCAACATGGTGAAACCCCGTCTCTACTAAAAATACAAAAATTAGCTGGGTGTGGTGGTGTGCGTCTGTAATCCCAGGTACTCAGGAGGCTGAGGCAGGAGAATCGTTTGAACCTGGGAGAAGGAGGTTGCAGTGAGCCAAGATCGCACCACTGCGTGACTTTGTCTCAAAATAATAATAATAATGATAATAAATAAATAAATAAAAATAAGAATCCACATTTAGTAACAATGCAGAGGAATTTTTAAACACCAAGAATAAAGAAAAATAAATCCCCAAATTTGCCAAAGAGAAAAATCAGATGACCTCCAATAGAGTGAGAATCAGAGTGAATCTGACTTTGTGTTGGCAACACTGGATGTTGGAAGATGATGGTGATCATCTTCAAATCATTAAGGGCAAATGACTTTCAACCCAGAATTCTATACTCAACCAAATGAGAAGAAAATAAAAACATTTTAAAAAATCCAGGGTCTCAGAAAATTTGCCATCTACAGACAGTCAGTGAAAATATGACTGGAGGCCCTACTCTAACAAAAATAATTAAAGAGGAAATAGGACACAGGAGGCAATGAAAACTATATTCATATATTACTTTTATAATTAAAATTTAATTTTAATAAATGCTTGAAGTAGAGTTGCTCTGTCGCTCACCTACCAGCCCTAAGGCACTTCCACAAAGTCCCATGGCTCTGCCAGGGCACAGAAAAAAACGGACTAAAGCAATCTGCAGGTTCCTTCCAGTTCTGAAACTCTGGGACTCTAGTTGAGTATGAGCCTAAGCAAAGCTCTCAGGGTAGATGAGAAAGATGAGGCCATGGTGTGTCCAGCAAAACTGCCTGCACACAACAGGCAACACCACGCAACAATCTCCCCCTTTCTCCTTCACAAACCTGGGCCCATGCCGTTTGCTTGGTAGCTGTGATAACCTTCCCCAGGGAATTGGCTGCTCCCATGGGTGAGGTTCGTGGATTTGCTAGGTGAGGGCTTCTGCCTGATGCTGGAGGAAGACAAGTGCCTCACATCTGGGAGCATGCGGGGGGCAAGGGAAAGGTCCCATCTCTTGCAGTGTTTTCCTATTGCGACACACTACCCAGTTCTTGGCCTAGGAATGGGGATCACAGGGGCTGAGGGTGGGCTGGGCTTCCAGGTGAGGCACCAGGCTCTGGAGGCAGGCTCTGAGGCTGGACTGGCAAGGAATTTCTGCAATCGAAGCCCTCCATAAGGTCTCCCAGGGCAGCCTCATAGAACCTTGGTGCCTCTCTTGCAAAGGAGCCAGCAGGGACACTCTGGCCATTCTGGGGAGGTGGGAGGAGAAGGTGTGCTCGGTGAAGGAAGTGACAGTGACTGGGCTCTGTCACCTCCCTGCTGGCCAGCCTCACCAGGGGGAAACTAAGCGTGGCCTTCCACCTGCAGTGGAAACATGACTGCAATAACTGGATGCCCATTTTACTGCCTAACCCAGAGGCTGCAGTTGCTATGTCTGCTTCTCTTGGGTATGACTGGCTTGTTGCTGGCTGCCCATTGCAATCTGTCTTCAATGAAAGTGACAATCTTGTGCATCTTTTCAGTAACAAGTCAAACTACCATCAGGATTGTTGTGAAACAGAAACTAAAATAGCCTCCCTCTAAAAACCTTGTAGCTGCGTTGCCAGCTGATCTTGTTACAGAAAATTATGTCCATAAAGTGAAAAACTGAATTGTTTCAGTTGGCTTCCTCATTCCTTTGCAATCAGGAGTGCATCTTATAGAGTTTCAAAGGAAGTTCTAGAAGATATCATGGGCCTTGGTTTATGGTCTTAGATGATTTTATCCAGCTTAGACATGGTAAAAAGAGAGTATTCAAATCCATTCCATTGACCCACAGATAAGATGGCCATCAGCTGGGAACATGAGTAGATTAACTTGTGGGTAGAAGAGCCCACCTTACTGGAATTTATGTGAACAGGCAGGGTGAAAAGGAGGAGCTCCAATGAACAGGCTGAGGGAAGGCTCCTATTCCCAAAATGGTGATGTTGGAGTTGTACATTATTTCTTAATGAGAGAATTTTTGTGCAGTGAGGGCATGCATGCAATCCTGGAATTCCAAATAGCAGAGCTGCAAGTATGGTTTTAAAAGTGATGAAATATGGAGATATCAGTTCACTAATGGAAACATTGCAAAGGAATGAGGTACAATAGTGCTGTGTGTTACAACATCATGGTTTAGAATTGATTCAAAATGTTGGCTTACTGTGGTGAATTGGATTTTCTAAGGACATTACTCAATTTCAGCACACAGGAACCTCAAAGAACCTAATGGAGACGAGAATTCTTTTTTCCCTTGTGGCTTCTGAGACAGCACATCTTATTGCTTTGCGGATGTCTGTTGGTTTTCCTTCTGCTGTTTGTAATACTGATAACCAGTTTCTTTTCTGTTACAATTGACTATGGTCTATTTGATTTTTTTTTTTTTTTTTTTTTTTTTTGAGGTGGAGTTTCTCTCTTGTTGCCCAGGCTGGAGTGCAATGACACGATCTCTGCTCACTGCAACGCCGGCCTTCCGGATTCAAGCGATTCTCCTGCCTCAGCCTCTCGAGTAGCTGGGATTATAGGTGCCCGCCACCACGCCCAGCTAATTTTTTGTATTTTTAGTAGAGATGGGGTTTTGCCATGTTGACCAGGCTGGTCTCGAACTCCTGACCTCAGGTGATCCACCAACCTCGGCTTACCAAAGTGCTGGGATTACAGGTGTGAACCACTGCACCCAGCCATCTATTTAATTTTATGGAGGCCTATAATCCAGATGTTGAACCAAACACTTCTGATGATGAAAGAAGATATAAAATAGGAAATTAGGCAACTATTTCAGTGTTTCTTTTAAACATGTTGTTAGAAGGTCTAAACCCATTACTGGGTCCTAGGCAAAAGCAGCTTACTTCTCTATCCTTTCTTATACAAGGTTTAGAGAATTGTTCAGAGACCAACTGGGATTGCTTGGAGAAAGGGAAGGTGATGATGATTTAATTGTATTTCTCTTACATCAATGGAAAAGACAGAAGCTGATTTTACAATGACAGTTTGGCAGCTCAGTGAAATTACTCAAAGGCAACTACTGGCAATTCAGCATTCCTCAGTAATTCCAGACACTGAAGAAAATTTCCAAGCACAAACTCTTTCCTGCCTGGGTGTCCCAGTACCTTTTGAGACTGCAGAATAACATGAATGACTTAGATTCTGAAAACAGAAAATCAACAACTGTTAACAGTGTCAGGTGTGTTCCAAAGAACTGAATGGCAGAATCTGCGGGGCAAAAGCAGAAAGAAGTGATTTTTCAGAGATCCATCTTCTCCAGCAAGTTCTTCTGCATTCTTTCTAGAAACATTCTACCGCTGAGAAAGCAGGCTACTCCTCACCTATTCCTTCTTGGGCTAAAGATCTTAGAGTTAGTTGCTCATCTTGATTTGGGAAAAATAAAGTAAGGAATATTTCTATCATCGAACTCAGCATAGAATAATCTATTTGATAAATTCTTTTTGAGGTACCATTTAAAAATACTTTAATTTTTGTAATTTCAATAGGGTTTTTTTGGGAACAGATGGTGTTTGGTTACATGAGTAAGTTCTTCAGTGGTGATTTCTGAGATTTTTGGTGCACCCATCACCTGAGCAGGGTATACTGTACCCAATCTGTACTGTTTTATCCCTCACCCCCTCCCAGCCTTTCCCCAAGTCCCCAAAGTCTGTTGTATCAATCTTTTTTAAATTTTTCTTGGAGATGGAGTCTTACCCTGTCACCCAGGCTGAAGTGCAATGACATGATATTGGCCCACTGCAACCTCCGGCTTCCGGGTTCAAGCGATTCTCCTGCCTCAGCCTCCCAAGCAGCTGGGATTATAGGTGTGTGCCACCACACCTGGCTAATTTTTGTATTTTTAGTAGAGATGAAGTTTCACTATGTTGGTTAGGCTGGTCTTCAACTCCTGACCTCATTATCTGCCCACCTCAGCCTCCCAAAGTGCTGGGATTACAGGTGTGAGCCATCGCACCCAGCCTGTTATATCATTCTTATGACTTTGTGTCCTCATAGCTTAGCTCATACTTAAGATGTTTGATGAATTCTTAATGAGCATCATATTTTGATCTCAATCTCATATTTTATAATAATAATTATTATATACAAAACATTTTTTTCCAGCTAAATAACCTGAACCTTACTCTTTGTAGGGAAGACTCCATTTTAGGTAACTGCCTAGATTGGTCTATGTGCTGTGCTAAAGAGAAGGGAGGCTGATTTCACCACAGCAAATGGAAAGACTTCCCTACAAGTGGATCCATCCAACGGTGCAAGGCACTCCCTGGGCAGGAGATGAGTTCCTTGTCACTAGAGGTATGCAAGTTGAAGGAAGGATATTGTTGATGGGGAGTCATTGGATCTTATGATCTATTACAGCCCTGAAGTTATTCATTTCCTTTAGCACATTTTTTGTCATTTTTACATACTGAATATGTACCTTGGTTTATTGGGTTTTTTTGGTTTGGTTTTGTTTTGTTTTTAAGGTAAATATCATGTGCAAGGTTTCCCACCAGGTCTCCAGATGCACATTTCCAAGTTCTTTCCAAGTCTGCTTTTACTTGTCAGAAAACCTCATATGTGCACAGTGCAACAAATTGAGATGCATAGCAAATTTCAGAAACAAATATGATTGATCTCCAACATTCACCCTAGGCAAGCCTGCTGCTCCGTGCACTGCTGATTCTTCAAGCAGCTGCAGAGTGCGTGTGCAAGGGTGTTTTATATGCAGTTGTGGGTGTGGGTATCTTTAAGTTTGAGACAGAGTATGGGAGGGATGTGTGTGGGTGGGTGGGGGAAGCCTGGAAGAAGAACAGGTAAGAAGAGTGTAGGTCTGTGGTGCTTCCTGCAAAATTTAATTTCTTATGAAACCGTTGGTACACGTAAAATGAGTTCTATAAAGCTTGACAATTGTTTCTTTTTCTGAGAAATAAGCTTTCCACGAAAATTGAGTTATGGCTCCAATTAAAATAAACATACTCCAGAGCTGACGGAAACTAGAAATTCAGTTCAGCAATGATGGCGGTGTCTACAGAGTCAGCATTTTCCACGTCTTTATCCATGAGAGGTTCACAGAAGGCCCCACTTCTGATCCCAGCTGAGAGGGACTCTTCCTCCTCTAGGCCCCAGTAAAACCCATTGATCGCATCCCTAGCCCAGGGCTCACCTTGTCTTTATTGCCTTCCTTTGACAGACATGGCTTATCTCAACAAGCTGTGAACACTGCAGAGGCAGGAACCACCCCCTACACACACACACCCCAGGTAGCACCAGCACAGGCTTGCAGACAGGAGGCAGGACCAGCTTACAGACAGAGAATGAAGAGGATGAAGGCAGGCCAGACTCTGGCAAAAGCGGACTAATGGTGTCCAAAGGAAATTTCATTCATGCATCAAACACTAATAGAGGCCTGTGCTAGGTTCTAAGGAGAGAGAGGCAGTACTACATGCTCTATGTCAGGGTGGCGGTGAGGAGCAGACAGGTTAGCTAACACCTTTAGTGTCACTGTCAGTAGCACGGGAACTTCCTATGATGCTCATAGAAAGCGGAGGAAGGAAGGGTGCTTTCTGCTCATAATGAGTCAGGAAGAGCTCCCCACACGATGTATCTGAACTGGGTCTTGGAGGATGAGAAAAGGAAAAGGATATCCCAAACAGGGAGAAAACCATGTGCAAAGGCCAGGAGGCCAGAAGGGAAAAGCGTGCCCAGAGCATTTGGGCAGAACCAGCCCACTGGCCAAGAGGCCATGTGAGGAGTTGGGGGATGCGCTAGAGAGGCAGCTCGTGCGAATCAGGAAGGGCCAGACGTCTGCAGAGAGCTAGGGTGTGTCCTGAAGGCAGTGGAGCCCTTGATCTTTTCTCAGTAGCCAGGGCAGGGGCTGACAAGAGCTTACTACAAGAAGGTGAACTGGGCAGGAGGCTGGAAGGTGGGTGGAGAGAATGGGACAGCGACGGGGAGCCCAAGGCCACTGTAAGAGTGAGAAGAGATGAGTCCAGCTCAGTGGGGAGAGAAAGGTGAGAGATGTGGAGGTCAGACTGGGCCATCTTGGCACTGACCAATCATAGCAGGAAAGGGAGGGATGGAGGAGTTAGAGAAGATTCCATTTCTGGCTCCAGGTGACCAGGTAGATGGCAATGCCATTCACTGAGGCTAGGGACACACAAGAGTGGGCAGGCAAGGTGCTGAGTTCAGGCTTGGGCATGATGAGTCCCATGATGGGGACATTCAGCAGAAGTGGCCAGCAGTGGATTTCAGAAGGCCAGGGGGTCAGTCACATAAGAGGCAAGGTCAGGCTTAGGGGTCAGAGAAAGTAGTGTAGGCCTGGTGGCTCCCATGTGTTAGGACCCTCCCGTGTTCCCCGTACCTTCTCCCCTTTCATCCCAGGAAGGCCGGTGGCTCCATCAACTCCAGGCTGTCCCTCAGGGCCCTGGGGAACATCAGTGAAAATCAACCCACAACATTTCTGCTAAGAATCATGTACACATGCTTGCTAGAAAAGGGGGGCAGGGTTGGGAGGCAGGTGAGGATGGTGGGCCCAGGGCCTCATATCAGGTGCAAGGCAGGAACCTAGTCCTTGGCCCAGGCTGGGTCACTGCTGACTGTGCACCTGCGGTTAACAGTCCTTCACTCTCTGGATCACATTCCTCCTCTATGGGGAAGTTAGAGGCAGGGTTGGACCACATGGTCTCCAAGGGTCTCCTACCCCAGGCCCAGCCCTGATGGCCTATGATTCCAAGATTCTTTATGAGTCTGCGTCTCCTAAACAGATGCTTCTCAACTTACAATGGGGCTATATCTGATAAACCAATTGTAAGTTGAAAATATCTTAAGTCCAAAATGCATTTAATACACCTAAACTACTGAACATCATAGCTTAGCCTAGCCTACCTTAAACATACTCAGAATACTTCCATTAGCCTATAGTTGGGCAAAGTCATCAAACACAGAGCCTATTTTATAATAAAGTGTTGAAAGTGAAAACAGAATGGCTGCATGGGTACTCAAGGTACAGTCTCTACTGAATGTGTATCACTTTGCACCATTGTAAAGTCAAAAACATCTTAAGTTGAACCATTTGTAAGTAGGGGACCATCTGTACTGACTATGATAAAGCAGCAAAACAATATGTAGGATGATGTTTTTCTTGGCTGCTGCTTCTTTCGAATCTCAGCAATGATTCAGATGAGGAGGATTTCTGTTTACAAACAGCTAGCTGCTCTCTCCTCATCGCGAAACTTGGACAGTGATGGGTATTGCCATCTGTACACCCCTCCCTGGCTAAAGGAAGTCCCACAGTCGCAAAGATGGGGAGGAGACTTCAGTTGCTCACCGGGGGCCCGGGTTCACCAGCACGTCCATCCTCTCCAGGAGATCCAGGGGGTCCCATGAAAACATCAGTTCCTGGTTTTCCTGGAATCCCAGGTAAGCCAGGTGGCCCTGGGGGCCCTGGAGGACCCTAAAAACACGGAGACTCTGTTAGAAACAGTGGGGGAATACCGAATGAGATACTGAATATATGTGCCTCCTACATTCTCTCAAATTCTTACAACAATCCTACAAGTAGGGTTTGGTGTTCCCACTGAGCAGATGGGGAAACTGAGGCTCAGTGAGACCATGCGACTCAAGGGCTCTCAGACACACAGCTAGTTAATAGGAGAACTGGGATTTGAATCTCGGTCTTTCTGAGCCCATCATAGTGTGTTTTCTCCCAAAAGTCTGAATACAAGAAAGACTCAATTAGCTGGAATACTGAGAGGTGCCCTGGCGAACTTAGTTTTCTGATTAACTGTGAGGTCAGTCAAAAACTGCTTGTTGTGTAGCCTTGTTGTTAAAACTCTTTCTGAAGTGCACTAGTGTTTTTAGACCATTGCTGGGCTGGCTGATCCCACCAGGCTGGGAGATTCATTTGACTCCCATTCCATTTAACCACAGAGTCCAGAGCCCTTCTAGCCCTGGCCATGAGGAGTAGGCAGAGGAGCAGCCAAGTGGAGCTTTCAACCAGGGATTCAGCACAGGCGCTCAGGGACAGAGGCACCAGCTGCAGCTAGAGAAGGAAGAAGCTCCCCAGGGGGCAATTTCAGAAAGGGCTGGTGGAGCCCCAGCCTTGGTAGGAGGCCAGGGGAGCAAGAGGCACCAAAGAGAAAGAGTAGTCTGGAGAGGGAGGCAGGGAGAGGGTGCATAAGGGAAGGATATTTCAGGAAGGTTCTGGAAGCTGAAGTAGAATATGCCACCCAGAGACAAGGCCAGCAGTTCTCTTTAATGAATAGGGTAAGAGGACGGGGAGGGAGGATCGAAAGCCAATTGGCAGAGGTGTAGGGCACTGGGCACACCTGCTGCACGGCAGCCTACTCCAGAAGCCCACTGGGAAAAGGAAGAAGGTGGGGCAAGATGGTCCTGAAGATAAATGTAGGCTCATACTCACTTACGATGCAACTGATCAAAGTGGACAATTTCAAACATATATACAAGTACAGGGAAAAGCAGAATGAACCCCCACGAGCTCACTGCCAACAACCCCAGAGGCGGCCAATCCGGTTTCATCTGTCCCCCGCCCCAAAGTCCCTCCCTCTGGGGTTATTTTGAAGGCAGTCCCAGACACCAGGTCGTGTTCTCCTTCACACTCACTCTTAGCAACTCCTCACTGCCCACCAGGTCACCAGAGCCAGAGCCGACGTCCAAGCCCCAGCCCAGGCCAGAGCCCTCTGCCTCTGCTCCCGCCTGGAGAGAAGAAATTTCCACAACTTGCATTTAACTGCCAGACTCCAAGGACAGCCACATCGCTGAAAGTTTTCTCCAAAATGGGGAAATTTTTCCTATATCCCGTAGCCCGATAACTTCTGCTCCCCATTTTCTCTCTGACTTTTCTCCCACTCCCCTCTACAGCAACTCTTCTCCCTTGCCGCCTCCCAGCTGTGCAGCCCACTCATATCCTCAGCCTCCTTTCCTGCCTTTCAATTCCCGACTCATCCTTCAAGGCCCAGTTCCACAGTCTCCTCCTCCACGAAGCCCTCCCTACCCGTTTCCAGGCAGAATTCTTCTCTCCCTCCTTGGTGCTCCCACTAGCCTCTGTCAAGTTCTCAATGAGATGCCAGGACCACCTGACTTGAAGCTTAGTTGTGCGTGTATCTGTCAGCTCCTCTAAACTAGGGCTCCTCAAGAGCCAGCCCAAACCTGGGCCACATTGGGTGTCCAGAGTCCAGCAGGAGGCTGAGCACCCAGAGAGCCCTCAGTGCATACTTGAATGGCATCAAATGTATCTGAAGAACAAGGGGAATCTCCAAAACACCTTTCCGGTACTTAACTCCTGAAGACGGGAACCAGGCAGGGCCTAATTTATCCATTGAATGTGTGTGTATTGAGCACCCCCGAGAGGCACCGTGGAAGAGCTGGGTTTCGGGGTTACAGCTGTGTTTAGGAAGGTCACAGTGGTGGGCACGTGTGTGGGGGAAGGGAAGTGGTGATATGGAGGCAGAGAGACCAGTTAGGAGGCTGGTGCCATTGCCCAAGAGAAGAGGAGGAGGCACTATACAGCTAGACTCAGGGGGACTTGGGGACACACTGGACAGGGCTGGGGAAGGGAGATGACTATTCAAGGATGTTTCTCTCTTGCTGACCAGGTAGATGGGGTGCCATTCCCAGAGATGGGGAACCCAGGAGGAGAAGCAGGTCTGGGGCATGGGTCATGAGTCCAGTTTGGGAAGTGTTGAGTTTGGAGAACTTCTGGGACACTCAAGGTACAGGATTTAAACTGGATAGAAATCAGTTCTGCTGCTGCACACTGCAGAGTCCTAGCAGAGGCAGAAAGCCCTGGGGTCTGACTGCAAGATACTTTGGGGGCCAAAAAGGAGAGTCCTCAGCCTGTGGCTGTTTTGGCTGCATCCCTGGTCTTACACCTGTGTGTGTGACAAGCCTGGATGGAAATCTCACCGTGGGTCCAACAGGCCCAGAAGGTTCAGGCAGGCCAGGAATCTCCTCCCCAGCATCACCCTAAAGAGAACAAAATGTTCAGTGAAGTGCTGGAACCCTGTTCCTTCCATCTCCCCATCTTTCTGTAGAAATCATGCTCATCTTTAAAATCAGGATCACACCGGGATGAAAAATGGCATTGTCCTTCGCAGAGACAGCTCAAGGGAACGCCTTGTCCCACCCCAGGGCTCAGAAGCCCTTTGTTTCTGAGCCATACTTGGAGAGCACGGGCTGTGGTGGAAAGCGGTGACCCGCACGAGCATGCATCGCACACATCCTCCCTTCTTCCAGGATTTATCTCCACCCTCTGGTCTGGGCCCTGCTACAGCACCAGTGCCCAGGCCCAATCTGGACTCCCCTGAAGCCTGCCCTGTCCACCTGCTCCTCCCACCAGGGCCTGTGACCTTTACAGCAACATCATTGCTCGCAGCCTGCCCCTCTGGGACCATGTGCCCCTCAAGGGCAGGCACAGTGCCTGAATCACCTCCACGTCCCAGCACCTGGCACAAGGCTGGTGCCCCAGAAAATGCTTTTCAAATGACAGAAGCACACATTTGGAAAGGAGGCAGATGAAAGAAAATGACAGAGTGGCATCCCAGGAGGTTTTGGCTGTCAAAAAGTGCCCAGAGAAGTGGCTTCTTTGACAAAGTGACAGGATGGCCAGATCCGCCAAAAGGAGAGTGGAAATGTCCACAGTAAAGTCCCCAAATTTGTGTGTTGTGAGGCTTCCTCCCAGAGCCTTCTGCTACACCCCAGAGCCCTGCTGGCATCTGAAGTCCACTGAGATGGCCAGAGGCAGAGATAAGTGAGGACACCGCCCTCCCTAGCCCCGGCCCTCCCTTCCCCACACCCCCGTAGGCACTCAGGAGGTCCCAGGACGGGAGCATCATCTGCCACAAGGAATGGCCTCCGTGCAACCTGGAGGGAGGCGAGGCAGGCAGAGGACCAGGGTCACGGTGGGGATGAGAAGGCTCCCAGAGGCAGCCAAGTTGCCGCCTATGGCCAGAGCAGGCTCCTTGGGCAGGATCTCTTGACTGGGGTCACTGTCGACACATCCCGTTGGGAACAGCTTAGCACCAGCAGGTGTTTTGGTGAGAGGAATTTGTTATTCCTGCGGTGACTGACACCAGCTAAAGCACTTCCATAAACATCCCCTCATGTCATCCCACACCAGAGGGTCATCATCACCACCCCCATTTTACAGGTGGAGAAACTGGAGCAAAGAAATAGTAAAGAACTTTCAGGAGATCCCACAGCTACAAAAAGGCAAACCTAGGCCTGTGGTCCTCAGAAGCTCTTGTCTGCCCAACATTTTCCCAGGAAGAAAATCAGGGGCAGAGCCCACAGCTCGGACACAGAAGTGAAGAAAACTGGTCGCAGATGTGTGGCAGAGCCAGATTTGGAATCATAGGACCCTTTGATACTCGACAGAGAAGCCAAGGCCCACGGAGGTCAAGGGACTTGGCCACAGCCACCAGGTGGTGAGAAGAGACTTGGCCAGAACTGCCCGGTGCCCTTTTCATGATTCTCCCAGACCTACAAGTCCATTTCTTTTGGGGTTAGCCCTCTTGCTGATTCTGTGATCCACTTGATCAGAGTGGACTAAGTCAAACCCAAATAACATGCTTAGGACACTTGATCAGGAGCCAAAGTGTTCCCCAGGATGGTCACAGCACAAACCTTTTCTCCTTTGGGCTCAGCCTGTCCTTTCATTCCCACATGTTCTCTCTGAGCCTAAAACAAGAAGATTTTGTTAAAACATGGCCACAACATATTTGGGACATGGGGCTGCTGAGTTCTGATGACATTCCCTGGTCCTGGTCAGTGAGCTGTGCATGAGCTAGGGCTTGCACTGGGCTGAAGTCAGTGAGCCCCGTGAAGAGACAGGCTGCCTGATCACTGCAGCATCCCCTGCACCGGCAGATAATAGGCTCTCAGTACCTATTTGCCAAATGACAAGTGGGAAGAACCTGGCATTTGACATACCTGACAATCAGTCTTCTCTCTCACTTGTGTTCCACAACACAGATTTTTAAATATATTACTTCATTTCCAGGGCAACATTCTCCATATATTTGCTAAGATCTATTAGTCAGTCCTTAGATATGTAATGACATCATTGTGACCAGTGTGGACTTTGTTAATCAACTTCTGGCTCTCATCTGAAGACAGTGGTTGTAGACAGTGCAGAAAACCAAAGCACCAAAAAGTCCAGAGACAAAGGCTGTCACCCCTACTGGACCCCTAGGAGCTACGTGATCTTGAGCAAAGCTCTAATCCTTTTTGGGCCTCATCTGCAAAATAATTCTAGACAGCTAATTTATTGAGCATGTACTATGTGTGCTGGGTCATGTTTTCCATGTATAAACTCATTTAATCATCACAAATCAAGAGGTAGGTTCTATGATTATGATTCCCATTTTATGCATGAGTCAGCTGAGACAGAGAGAAGTGAAGAAAATTGGCCACAGATATGTGGCAGAGCCAGGCAAGCTATACTGCCATGGTGACTCTGAGATTCAGACTGACCTAGAGTCACCATGGCAGTATAGCTTGCCTGGCTCTGTCACATATCTGCCAGTACTGATTCTAGAGGCCAGGTGCAGCGGCTCATGCCTGTAATCCCAGCACTTTGGGAAGCTGAGGCAGCTGAATCATCTGAGGTCAGAAGTTCAAGACCAGCATGGCCAACATGGTGAAATCCTGTCTCTACTAAAAACAAACAAACAAGCAAACAAAAACATTAGCCGGGCCGTAGCAGCGCATGCCTGTAATTCCAGCTACTCTGCAGGCTGAGGCAGGAGAATCGCTTGAGCCTGAGAGGCGGAGGTTGTGGTAAGCCAAGATCACGCCACAGCACTCTTGTCTGGGCAAGAGAGTGAGGCCCTGTCTCAAGAAAAAAACAAACAAACAACAACAACAAAAACACAAAAAAAACTGATCCTGGAGATATCCCAGGGTGGGTGCCTTCTTGACAATCTTGTGCTTTTAGACTCTGCTCAGGAATCAGAGCATTCATCTGAGTTCATTGCAGATCCCTAACGTGGGGACTTAGCAGGAATTTGTCTTCATCAGACATCAACCATGTCTCTGTTTCTCTCTCTCTTTCTGTCTCTCATTCTATCTCTAACTCTCTCTGTGTCTGTCTGTCTCTCTCTCTCTTCCTTCTCAGAGCTTTAAAAAATCTATCATAAAAATTGTAAGCCACCATAGTGGAAAATGTATTAAACCACAATGTATTAAAGAACTAACAACCTTCCACAGTTCCACCACTTTGAGGCAACAGCTGCCAACATTTACAAAGGATATTTCCTTCTAGTGTTTTTGCATGTGTGTATTTTTAAATAGTTAACCACACAATATAGTCAGATTTATAACCAGCTTCTTTCACTTAACATTATATGCTAAGCGTTTCCCCATCATTAAATATTTCTAACAAGTATAATTTTATTAGCTACATAATGTTCCATTGTTTGAATATACTTTTTTTGAAGCTAATTTTTTTTTTATTATTTTTTTCATCATATTTTATGTTCTAGGGTACATGTGCACAATGTGCAGGTTTGTTACATATGTATACATGTGCCATGTTGGTTTGCTGTACCCATTAACTCGTCATTTACATTAGGTATATCTCCTAACGCTATCCCTCCCCACTCCCCCTACCCCACAAAAGGCCCCAGTGTGTGATGTTCCCTTTCCTGTGTCCAAGTGTTCTCATTGTTCAATTCCCACCTATGAGTGACAACAAGCAGTGTTTGGTTTTCTGTTCTTGCAATAGCTTGCTGAGAATGATGGTTTCCAGCTGCATCCATGTCCCTACAAAGGACATGAACTCATCCTTTTTTATGGCTGCATAGTATTCCATATAAAATTTGGCTCCATAGTATTCCATATAAAAATTCCATTTTTAGATTTTCAATAACAAAAAATTTTAAAAATGGCCATACTGCCCAAGGTAATTTATAGATTCAAAGCCATCTCCATTAAGCTACCAATGACTTTCTTCACAGAATTGGAAAAAACTACTTTAAAGTTCATATGGAATCAAAAAAAGAGCCTGCATTGCCAAGACAATATGTGCCACATTTTCTTAATCCAGTCTGTCATTGATGGACATTTGGGTTGGTTCCAAGGTTTTGCTATTGTGAATAGTGCCGCAATAAACATACATGTGCATCTGTCTTTATAGCAGCATTATTTATGATCCTTTGGGTATATACCCAGTAATGGGATGGCTGGGTCAAATGTTATTTCTAGTTCTAGACCCTTGAGGAATCGCCACACTGTCTTCCACAATGGTTGAACTAGTTTACAGTCCCACCAACAGTGTAAAAGTGTTCCTATTTCTCCACATCCTCTCCAGCACCTGTTGTTTCCTGACTTTTTAATGATCGCTATTCTAACTGGTGTGAGATGGTATCTCATTGTGGTTTTGATTTGCATTTCTCTGATGGCTAGTGATGATGAGCATTTTTTCATGTGTCTGTTGGCTGCATAAATGTCTTCTTTTGAGAAGTGTCTGTTCATATCCTTTGCCCACTTTTTGATGAGGTTGTTTGTTTTTTTTCTTGTAAATTTGTTGGAGTTCTTTGTAGGTTCTGGATATTAGCCCTTATATGAAAATCAATAAACGTAATTCAGCATATAAACAGAACCAAAGACAAAAACCACATGATTATCTCAATAGATGCAGAAAAGGCCTTTGACAAAATTCAACAGCCCTTCATGCTAAAAAATCTCAATAAATTCGGTATTGATGGAACATACCTCAAAATAATAAGAGCTATTTATGACAAACCCATAGCCAATATCATACTGAATGGGCAAAAACTGGAAGCATTCCCTTTGAAAACTGGCACAAGACAGGGATGTCCTCTCTCACCACTCCTATTCAACATAGTGTTGGAAGTTCTGGCCAGGGCAATCAGGCAGGAGAAAGAAATAAACGGTATTCAATTAGGAAAAAAGGAAGTCAAATTGTCCCTGTTTGCAGATGACAGGATTGTATATTTAGAAAACCCCATTGTCTCAGCCCAAAATCTCCTTAAGCTGACAAGCAACTTCAGCAAAGTCTCAGGATACAAAATCAATGGACAAAAATCACAAGCATTCTTATACACCAATAACAGACAAACAGAGAGCCAAATCATGAGTAAACTCCCATTCACAATTGCTTCAAAGAGAATAAAACACCTAGGAATCCAATTTACAAGGGATGTGAAGGACCTTTTGAAGGAGAACTACTACTAACCACTGCTCAATGAAATAAAAGAGGACCCAAACAAATGGAAGAACATTCCATGCTCATAGATAGGAAGAATCAATATTGTGAAAATGGCCATACTGCCCAAGGTAATTTATAGATTCAATGCCATCCCCATTAAGCTACCAATGACTTTCTTCACAGAATTGGAAAAAACTACTTAAAAGTTCATATGGAACCAAAAAAGGAGCCCGCATTGCCAAGACAATCCTAAGCCAAAAGAATGAAGCTGGAGGCATCATGCTACCTGACTTCAAACTATACTACAAGGCTACAGTAACCAAAACAGCATGGTACTGGTACCAAAACAGAGATATAGACCAATGGAGCAGAACAGAGCCCTCAGAAATAATACCACACATCTACAACCATCTGATCTTTGACAAACCTGACAAAAACAAGAAATGGGGAAAGGATTCCCTATTTAATAATTGGTGCTGGGAAAACTGGCTACCCATAAGCAGAAAGCTAAAACTGGATCCCTTCCTTACACTTTATACAAAAATTAATCAAGATGGATTAGAGACTTAAATGTTAGACCTAAAACCATAAAAACCCTAGTAGAAAACCTAGGCGATACCATTCAGGACATAGGCATGGGAAAGGACTTCATGTCTAAAACACCAAAACCAATGGCAACAAAAGCCAAAATTGACAAATGGGATCTAATTAAACTAAAGAGCTTTTACACAGCAAAAGAAACTACCATCAGAGTGAACAGGTAACCTACAGAATGGGTGAATATACTTTAATTCAATTAATCTTCTATTGTTGGCTAATTAAATTATGCCCAATTTTTCTCTATTATGGACAATACCAAGATTAGCATCCTGGTAAACAAAGCCTTTTTTTTTTTTTTTTTTTTTTTAAACAACGACAACAAAGGTTATCAGATTATTTCCACTAGAATCAATTCCTAGAAAAGAAGTTTCTGGGTCAGCAATATGCACTCTTATGGTTGTTAATATATGTGGACAAAGAGCTCCCCAGGAGCAGTAACCCTCACACTCCCATGAGCACAGCCAGCCTTACCAGACCAACCTTTCGAAGCTGAAAACACAAAGGGTCTAAGGAAGAAACTGACCCAGTTTCTTCAACAAAGTAATGGCAAAAGGGAAAAAGAAGGGGGGAGACAATGGGAGATTGAGAGACACTTAAGAGATGTATCAACCAAATGCAATGTGTAGACCTTGTTTGGATTCAGATTCAAACAAACTAACTGGAAAGAGGTATTTTAAAACAAAATAATCAGGGCATTAGATAATATGAAGGAACCACTGTTAATTTTGTTAGATGCATTGTGACACTGTGGCTATGACCAAAAAAAGGGTACCAGATCACTCTATCAGCCGTACACATTGAATTGTTTACCAGTTAAATAAATGATAGGATGTTTGGGGTTCATTTTTGAATATTCCAGTATTCCCCTTCCCTCCAAAAAAGATGGCGGTAGGAGGTGGAACAGATGAAGCAAGATTGGCAGTGTTGATAATTATCCAAACTGAGTGATGGGTATGTGGGGGTTAATTATACTATTCTAAGCTCCTTTGTGACATTTTTAGATTTTCAATAACAAAAAGTTTAAAAGAGAAAGAAAAAGGAGAACTGGCTCTATCTGTGCCTGATGAGGCACCACTAGGGAGATTTGAACTTGGTGCTTTGTGTATACGTTGGGGTGAGGTGCAGAAGAGCAGGGGGACATTGTTTGGGAAGTCACAGTGCATGAGCAGGTCGATCCAGAGCTGGCTGCCCACTAGCATGCCCTGCAAGCCCAAAGCCCCAGTCCCAGTGTCTTAGTTACTTGGTCTAGCACTGGACTCAGACACCCGCATTGTTTTAAGCTAGCAGCCATCTCTAATGTGTGACCAGAGTTAAAAACCAGAGTTGTTGTTCACCTTTTTCCTTTTATAGATGATGACAAGGAGGCCCAGGGCCCACCAGAAGTCAGTGACATCCCTGGAAGCAGAACCTCAACCTCCTGGCCCCCAGTCCAGGATCTTCCCACCACACCACACTCTCACAAATGAGGACTTCAGCTGGGTGAAGCTCGAGAGCTTCACCTCTGCAGGCCAGCATGCAGATTCAAATCCCAGCTCCACCTCTTAGAGGCAGGCAACAGTGGCAGATGACTACCTCTCCACATCTTACCTCCTATTCACCTTATACTGAAGAGGGGTGTGGTGAAGGGAATCAGATAAACTCGGAGCACAGAGTGATTAATCAATGTCAGTTCAGATGGCTTATTTCCTGCCCCTTGATTGTGAATTCATTGGGGACAGGAGTGAGGTCACATTCATCTCTATTTATAAGTGTCCTGACTGAGGGCCCAGAGCCGCTATGTGTCCAGTCAATGAGTGAATCAATGAACGAATGCAAGACAACTCTAAAGAGACAGGAAGCAGTGTGATAACCACTAGAAAAGGCCCCGGAACAAGGGGCATTCAGGACCTCAGGTGCTCTCCTGATCTCCCGTCCCACAGCACCCCCGCTCACAGGTCAGTCCTGCCGCACCGTGGCCAATGGACCACATGACTGTAGCTTGAATGGTGGCTTTCAAAGTGTGCATGATCAAGTGGTGTTTGGGGGAACTGACGAGCCTGTGCTGGCCACCAAGGAGATGTTTTCCTTTAAAAATGTGTTCACATTGGAAGAGCAGTCCCTCTTCACACAAGCCCAAGCTGAGGGCCAGCTTTGGGTTTCCTATTTCTAAAAGACACAGTTATAGCCCTTAAGTGGTGACAACCCCAGGTGTGTGTACAGAGCTTTGTAAACGTTCTCCAACCTGCATTCTCTGACTTGGCCTTGCAGTCACTCATTTTTACAGATGAGGAAACGGAGGGCCAAAGAGATCAAAGGATTTGCTTAAGGTCACACAGTTGCAGCCAAGAGTGATAAAAACTCATGTTGGCAGGGACTTGGAGGTCACCCCCCAACACACACACAGCGCTGATGCTCTCCCCTCTACAGACCTGCCACATCTTACTGTCAGCTTTGTCCCCAGAAGAGCACTGTTAGATCTCATTTCAATCCAAAGATCAGTTTGGAACACAAAGCCAGGTCCCCTTGATTTTAATTTCTTGCTTTTGCTGTACAAGCTGGAGTTTCCTCAAGTGTTCCCCAGGTTAAAGCTCCTTAAATGCCCAAATTTGCAAACCAACGTGAAAACCTACCTCTGAGAAAGCTGGGGGCCAACCCTCCCACAACTTTGGCCTTTCTTTCTCTCCCACGTAAGGTCTATCAAGTCAAATCTTACAGCTCTATGCCACTTACTGGTGTGACCCTTCTTTCAGGAGCCACTGTGGGCAGGGGCAGCGGTGGCCCATCGGGGGGAGGGCTGCCGGACTCTTCACCCCGAGCTGTGATGAGGGGCTCCTCTATTGTGGCTGCTGCCAAGTCTTCTTCATCACCAGGACCCTGAAAACAAAACCAGCATTGAGGCACCACCTCACCTCGCTCACGAGGCTGCCGGGGAGTTGTAGTCACTGTCGTTTCTGTGGTGCCAGCCCAGTTTCAAAACACATTCTTCCCTATGATCATCGTTGCCCCCAGCGCACCCCCTCTGAAATATGCATCTCCTCTAAGCCTCAGTGCCAACTGTGGACCACTTGTCTCTGAGTAAATTCTTGGGCAAGGCTAGGAGGGAGCAAGGCTGTGGCCCCTGCCACACTCCGGCATTGCGTCCTGCCTCCCTCCAGCCGCTGCCCACCCAGATGCTCATAACCAAGCTGCAGGTGCCCCTGCCAAGGCCAAGGACGGCTGTTGTCTCACAATGCAGACCTGTCTCTCCCCTGTAAGCCAGAGGATGCCAGATGACACTTACAGAAGTGACTGCCTGCTCAGGGGTCATGGTGGCTGTGAGGGGGGCCAGGCCATCTGTGGGGACCCCACTGGCTTCCTCATCCTCAAAAGTACTGAGGGACACTTCGGTTGCAGCTGCAGCTGTTGTTAAACTTCCTTCACTGTTTGGACCCTGAAATGAAATTGGCATGAGGAGCTGTGCCCCTTCGCCCATACCCCTGGTTCAGTGGGTGTGAGGCTGCGGGGTGGAAAGCGCTGGGGCCTCAGATAACTGGAGGCTCCCTGCTTCCCTTTCCTTTGCTCCTTCAGGACCACACCTTCGCCTGGAGCTCCAGTGTTAGAACGCACCTCTCAGGGCATCCCCCCACCCACCCCAGAGTCCCCTCTAGCACATCTCTGCCAAGCGCTTCTCTGGCCTTAGCTTTGTGAAAGGAAAATAAATCTCAGGATCCCCAAATCACTAAGCAGAAGGGAAAAAAAAATCAAGCTGGGAACTACTTAGGGCAAACTTATCTCCCAGTGTATTCCTTAAAAAGATAGCTACTAAGATAAAAAAGCTACATACCTCCCTAATAATTTGTCCTTAAGGAAATTCCTTGCAGACAAAGGACAGACAGAACTCAAGGTCATCCCTCTGCTCCGTGGGATAAATGCATATCTGATTGCTTCCTTTGGAGAGGCTAATCAGAAACTCAGAAGAATGCAACCATTTGTCTCTTATCTACCTATGATATGGAAGCCCCCTCCCCACTTTGAGTTGTCCTGCCTTTCCGGACAGCACAAATGCACACCTTATATATATTGATTGATGTCTCATGTCTCCCTAAAATTCATAAAACCAAGCTGTGCTCCAACCACCTTGGGCACATGTTGTCAGGATCTCCTGAGGCTGTGTCACGGGCATGTCCTTAACCTTTGCAGAATAAACTTCCTAACTTTCCTGAGATCTGTCTCAGATATTTGGGGTTCACATTTTGGCAACCAAGAAGGGATTCTGAGTGGAGGTGCCACTGACCTTTGACAAATCTCATATTGGTGCTTGCTACCAGCTTGAGCTTTCTTTATGGTTCAAACCAATAGAACAATTTGCGGAGGCCTCGGAGCCTCCCCTCCAGAGAATCCCTGATCTCCCAAAATTTGGTCAAGATCTAAAGTTTATTTTGCTGTACAGTTCTTTTTCTGGAGTCTTACTTACTTCCAACAAGGAATGCAAGTTTTCTTGCTTCTAGGATGATGGAAGGCACGTAACTCCTTTCTGGAGTTTGAGCTCATTTCTAACAGGGAAGGCAAATTTAAATTATTTCCTGCTTCTAGGATGGTAGAGAGCAATCTTCCGCCTAAGACCTATCTCTAGTAAGTAGCTGAATTGGGGTTTTTTCTTGGCTGAAGTTAAGATGAACAACCAGCTGTTCTTAATTTCTCCTATTAGAGTACTCAGTAATCATATTGTTAGGGGTTTTTTTTGGTTGTTGTTCTGGTCTTTCTCCCATCAGATTTGCCCAACTCTACCTGACTTGGTCAAATCTAAATGAGAATTCTAAGTTATGGGTAACAAGGCCTCTCTGAATTGGCTAAAATTTCTCACAGCTGAAACAGAGAGGGGAGAAAACCAAAACATGCACATGTTTGCTGTCTTTGCTTCCTGTCTTAAAAATTTTTTTTTCTTTCATTTACTTTTCTTCCACCCTATATCTCTTTCCCCCTTCGCTGTCTTTAGTACCAATAAAAACCTAGAGGAGGCTTCTAATGACTCAAACCCCTTAAAGTACTCAGAACAAAGGCACCACCTGCCCCTTTTTGGGGTGTTCCATTTTCTTTGTGGAGTTTCAAGAGTCATGAGCAGATTCTTCTTAGGTCTAAAGCTCTGCTCTCCTGTATCGTAAGACCTGACTTCTTTGGCTTTAGAGGGTACCAGAGATTACCTTGTACTGGGAGACGATTTAACCTTGGTGTGTATAATGGTGCATGAGAGTACAAAGAGGTGGCTGAGGACAATTTACAGGAAGTGGTCTTAGCTGTTTTTTGTTTTTTTTTTTTCCTCCTAGGAAGTTATTATTTAGACCCTAATTCTAGTTCAGAGGTGCATTCTAAAGGGTGTCTTCTCCATTGCCTTTCCTGCTGAAATTAATCTTGATTGGCTAGTATGACCATTTTGCATGAGGAACTGAACTATCGTTTTCACAGATAAATGGGAGAATGAGTTTCCTCAGCTCCAAAGAGAAAGGGCATTTTGCTCCTCCCAGCTGAAAGGTGCCCCTGGGTCACTGGAGGCCAACTGGGAGTGTCTGGGGGTTGACCCCCCCATGACATGCTGCAACCCTACAGGGAACCCCCAATGAAATTAGTTTAAAAAGCCTCATTCAGGGCCGGGCGCGGTGGCTCAAGCCTGTAATCCCAGCACTTTGGGAGGCCAAGACGGGCGGATCACGAGGTCAGTAGATCGAGACCATCCTGGCTAACACGGTGAAACCCCGTCTCTACTAAAAAATACAAAAAACTAGCCGGGCAAGGTGGCGGGCGCCTGTAGTTCCAGCTACTCGGGAGGCTGAGGCAGGAGAATGGCGTAAACCCGGGAGGCAGAGTTTGCAGTGAGCTGAGATCCAGCCACTGCACTCCAGCCCGGGCAACAGAGCGAGACTCTGTCTGAAAAAAAAAAAAAAAAAAAGCCTCATTCAGGAAGGGCATATAGGAGCTGGTCACTCTGCATTTTGATTTTGAGCCTTCTTGGAGGTGCTAGAACTACAGAGAGAGAAACTGAGACATGTAAGAGGGTGGAAATGGCTAAGTGGTGACATACTGTAGAGCCTCACCTGCAACCAGCACACTTTGACCCACTCCACTAAAATACTAGGCCACGGCTCAGTTCCTACCTTAAAATAAAAAATAAATAAATAAAAATGGCCGGGCACGGTGGTTCACACCTGTAATCCCAGCACTTTGGAGGCCGAGGCAGGTGGATCATGAAGTCAGGAATTTGAGACCAGCCTGGCCAATATGGTGAAACCCCATCTCTACTAAAAATACAAGAAAACTAGCCGGGCATGGTGGTGCACACCTGTAGACCCAGCTACTCGAGAGGCTGAGGTAGGAGAATCACTTGAACTCAGGAGGTGGAGGTAGCAGTGAGCCGAGATTGTACCATTGCACTCCAGCCTGGGCAATAGAGGGAGACTCTGTCTCAAAAAAAAAAAAAAAAAAAAAAGGTGGAGTGGGAAACAATCTAAGAATAAGGGAAAACAACGAGAATGACCCTCTTTCAGGCACTCCGTTGGTTTTATGGTCCCTCTTCTTGCAAGTGTTTTTGTAAAATGGACATACATGACATTTTCATGCACAATTATAGCAAGAAAAATTCAGGGCCCAAAAGTCAATCTGCAACTATAAAGTTCCTAAGTTCTCTATCTCTCGGCTTTCTTCTCTGCCTCTGCCTGCTTTAAGTCTGCTGTTACATGTCTCCTGAAATAAAATCCACTGTTTGCATCCAGACATTTATTTTTGTTATTGTTTCTGCAAACCAATGAGTTTGTATCAGTAGTTCATGGCTAGAGTTCTGAAGTAAAAGCTATAGGATTTTTGGTTGTATGAGTGTGTGTGTGTGTGTTTATGTGTACATACACATATTTTGTTGTGTTTTTGGCTACAAGGTATGACATTGGCTTAAAGAGCACTCATAAATTAAATAATAAACCCAAATGCTTTTCACGTTCACATGACCTAAGTAAAGTCTTTAATAAGCTAGCTTTAAAATTATTGCTAAAGCAAATTAAAAATGTCTTAAGAATTGCCAGCATACATTTTTGTTTGCATTTATTGATCAAGCAATTTCATATTTATCCCTGCCAAATACTATAAGGTGTTAAAATTTGGCATAAGGGTTAAAAAACTATAAACTCAGCCCAAAACAGGATAACCTTTGCTTGTGTACTTTCTGATAAATAAGACACGAACATTAGTTTAATGAAAAGAGCTAAATCTTGATTTAGTAAAACAACCTCATATTTAATCTTAAGGTTCTCCTTAGGTAAACACCTGAAATTCACAGGCTATAAAATGGTTGGCAGGGAAATAACTTTAAATAATGACTATCGCAGTTTTCATAAATACAGTAATCTAGGTACACTATTAAAAACAACTAGGTAAATGTAATGGGATAAATACAGACAAATGTGTCATAATTTAGAATCTAAAGTTAAATTAAACAATAGATATTTCATTAGTTGGGTATTTTCCATTTAAAAAATATATTGTAAGAAAACATTCTTTCTAAAAAAAACTGTGTTTTTTTAAAAAGGTGAATAATTTTTGTCTCATTTAAAGCTTATTTAAAAGTTATGTATAAAACAAGGTGAAGGGAATCAGGAAATGAGAGAGATGTAAAGAAAGTTATAGAAATAAAGAGGTAATTTGGGTAAGAAAGCTTAAAGAAAAATAATTTTATGTGAGAAAGGATCTTTTATGGTAAATTTTGTCCTAGAATAAAATGACTGTTTTTTCAAGAAAGAGGGATGCTCAGGAAAACTAGAAAGTCCAAGCATGTCAGAAATGGTCTGTTTACATCATAATAAGAAGATTGATGAAAAAAAACTTTCATATAACCAAGCTGTCTACAATTAAAGGGAAATTATTTAAAATGGTCTTTCCAGATATTGGGTTTTGATTTAAAAAAAAAACCATTTATACACTAAAGAATTGGTTTGAACTACAAAATTTTCTTAAGGTATTGCTTTACTCTTAATAAAGTACAAGGCATTATAATTTTTTTTATGCAAAGCTCAACTTTTATTGCATCTTGCTGTTTTCTATTTTCTCTCCCCTTTTAAAAGGCCTGAAATAATAACTAACCTTCTACTCATTTTCAGCTGCTGTAAGATTTTTTTTCCCTCTGGTTCTAACTGTTGTGGCCTGACACTAAAAAGATGTTTCATCTTAGAGATCTAAAAGGAATATTTTCTTCCAACATAATATTCCCCATAGGGAACAGCAGTCACACTGCAGAAGGTCTTTTCTTTTGCCTTTGGGTAACTGGCCTAATAAACGGATCTTACACTTTATCTAAATAATTCCTATGTCATTATTACTAAGTTTTAGTTTGTTTAGAAAAGACCTAAATTAACAAAAAGAATATATTTTAAATTAAGGTTATTACATCCATATAACTTTCCATGCAGGGAACTGAAGGCCCATGGGACGTGACCAACTCAGCATTCCACTGGAGACTAGATGATCAAACAGCAAACTGTTTATCATGAATGCAGGATGTGAGCAAACTCACGACTGCTTCTGCTGACAGAAGGTTTGCTGGAGGCAATCACTCCCTGGTGCCAAGGTTATCTACTATGACATCTAGAGTCTGTTGTTTGAGGAATGCAGTCTTGAAAGCCTACTCTGGACTGAGCAGTTGATCCCTTCTTCCACCCCACTTCTCACTGTCTCTTTTACCTAATAAATATGGAGGGCTGTGTAAAGCTCAGGGCCCTTGTCCACTAGAGGCAAGGTTCCCCCAACCCCTTCTTCCAAATATACTCTTTTGTCTCTTGTCTTTTATTTCCACATTTGCCCCCATTTGTTCACTCCACCAGGGATCATGGCAGGTTACATAGTGGCGCCCGGAACAGCAACAGTATCAGGTGCTCTACATTGCTGTATGTGCTTTTAAAGTACTTGTGCCATTAAGTTACAGGGCTTTGATTCTTGAGTTTAAGAAGGACACCAAGTCCTGCTAAATCTTCAACACTGACAGCAGTTAAAGCCTCACCTACAGATCTGGTAGAAGATGTCAACCAAAATAAACTGTGTTCGTGAGACATAGGGCCAAAAATTAAAGCTATTCAACTCCTCAAGGTCCAAAGACTATTGTGGAAGAGGTGGGCACATGAGATTATAAGGGCAGATTTTGAGAGATAAAGTAAGTTTAGTTTCTCTGTAAATTAACCATTAATGTCAAAGGCATGCTGATGCGAGACCAGCATATGGGCCCCTGTGTCAGATTGACAAGGTTTTCTTGGAGCATTAACCCACTCGTTAATAAAGGTTATAAAGGTTATAAAAAGGCTTATGGAAATTATATCTTATGGTCAAGATGATTAAAATTTTATAGATTGTTTAAAAAATTTTGAAAAACAAATTTAATTGGCCTCTTATTGTTTTTATTAGGGCTGTTTGAGAAATCAATCTCCTCTCTCAAAGAATAAATATTTTTGCCTTTTTTTTTTTTTGAAATCTTTGAGGTATCACTTTGGCTAAATGAATGACTTATTTTACAACAACCTGTGATCCTATTTTGTGATCTCTCCAAAAATTTGGTAATTAGTTGTGAGTATTCTTAACTTACAACAATATAGTTATTTGTGTAAGTGTGATAACAATCTGTTTTCTTTTGTAACAGAGCACAACTGGAGACACTGGTTATTTTACCATGGTTTTGACTGGAGTGGCATGCTATCAGATACAGACTCCTTTAAGGAACCAAAGTTGATTTATAGAGCCAAAAAAAGTCCCTTAGGAAAGCTGGCCTCATACCTTGTCTACACAATCTCTGACCTGTGGTAAGTAAAGAATGTCACTTTCTGACAGGTCCAGGAGCCCCAAGTTTTCTTGAGACCTCAAGGTGAGGACTTCACCCAATTAATACAGGTATTTGCAGGCATGGGCTGTCCTTAAGGCATTAAAATCAAATCTGAGATTCTTTACGGAATAAAGTTCCAGCAAAGTCAATTAAAAAAAAAAAAAAAAAAAAAGAAGTGCCTATATGGCAAATAACTATTCTTGCTGACTTTATGCAAATACTCAGGCCAAGTATAATAAGACTAAAACTTAATTTGCAAATGAAATTGTCCTATGATTTTTTCTTTAGTGAAAATGGGACTGGAAAGAAAAAATTATATTTTAAAATAAACTATAGAACATCTGTTGTTAGATTTTGATCTTGCCTAATGTTTTTCAATTTTTATTATTTTCTACAGTTTGGACTGAATTCTAACATTTGTCCTGGCTACAAGTCTCCAAAATAATGTTTTCAACTTTTTTTCTTCTTCCTTTCCTTTTTTTCCCCATTTTTGAAATCAGTAAAATTAAGCCATGCTTTCTTAAAGCCCTGCAAACTGAAGCTAGACAACTTAAACTTTAGAGGAAAATAACAGCGACCTATTTACATAATAAGCCACTTTCATACCTGCCTACTGATGTATGGACTTCAGAGTAATATGACCTATATAAATTTTCCAGGATTGTTCTTCTTTTTTTATTTGTTGTTTTTCTCCCTTCCTCCCCCTATTTTCTCTTGTAGGGCATGCATGAGACTTCACAACCTGCTAAAAATGAACTTTCCTAATAACATGGGACTTTCCTGTCTAGGAATAAACCATCCTAGCCATAAGAAATCAACAAAACCTGAGACTAGAGACTCATTTTCTTTAAAATGTTTTATCTAAAAGATTTTAAAAAGAAAAGGGGGGAATGTGAAAGGAAAATAAATCTCAGGACCCCAAAATCACTAAGCCAGACGGAAAAATGAAAATGGAAATTGCTTAGGGCAAACCTGCCTCCCATTCTATTCCTTTAAAAGATACATACTAAGATAAGAAAGGTACATACCTCCCTCACAATTTGTCCTTAAAGAAATTTCTTACAGACAAAGGATAGACAGAACTCAAGGTCATCCCTCTGCTCTGTGGGATAAATGCACATCTGATTGCTTCCTTTAGAAAGGCTAATCAGAAACTCAAAAGAATGCAACCGTTTGTCTCTTCTCTACTTATGACATGGAAGCCCCCTCCCCACTTTGAGTTGTCCCGCCTTTCTGGACGGAACCAATGTACAACTTACATATATTGATTGAGGTCTCATGTCTCCCTAAAATGCATAAAACCAAGCTATGCCCCAACCACCTTGGGCACATGTCATCAGGACCTCCTGAGGCTGTGTTATGGGTGCATCCTTAACCCTGGCAAAATAAACTTCCCAAACTGACTGAGACTTGTTTCAAATACTCTTTGGTTTACAGCTTATACACCTCCAGTAACTAGGATCTCACCACCTCTACAGACAGCTCTTCTATTTTCAGACAATCCTGCTGGTCAAATTCTAGTTTCTATTAAGCTAAGACTTGGTAGAACTGGGATCGGATCCATGGCTTTCCCAATGTGTCTTAAGTGCCTAGACACTAAAGAAAGAGGAGGACACGGAAAGGGAGGGGAGGCGGAGAAGAGGAGGAGGAGAATGGAAAGGACAACTGGAAGAGGAAGAAGGAGAAGGAGAAGACCACTTTGTTCACTGAAAGAATCCATATAACTGCCAGACAGGGCCCTTAGCAATTGCCTGGGCTGGGGACACAGCAGCTCAGTGCAGGGGCCAGCACTGGAGAAGGACAGAGCTGACGATTCACGATGTGTACAGGCAGAAAAGTTAACAAGACTTGATGCTTGATGGGATGTAGAACTTAAGGAAGAGAGAAGACAGTTCTGGATTAGGTGACTGGAGGGTGATGGTCCCATTCATTTGAGGTGTGAACATAGGAGGAATGGAAAGGAGGAGTTCACGTTTGAGTCAGCTGAGCTGGAAGAACTTGAGGGCACCCACAGTAGAGACAGCACAGGGACAGACTGGCTGAGTGCCTTGGGATGATGTGCCCTGCCTTCAGGAGCCGGACAGTGTCTGTGCGCTGCACAAGAAGAGGGCTGGGAAGGCCTGGTCATGACCTCTGACCCCTGCTGGGGCCTGCCGCCTGCAGCCTGACCCCCACCGCCCTCCAGGAGCCCGCCACTCCTCCATTCTGGCTCCTGCCTCCTGTGGGTGGAGGCAGCAGGGTCTTGCACACAGCCCTGGGACATACCCCACCTCTCCAACTCACCCATCCCCAGAGCCCGGCTGCCCACTGACTTCCAGGGGCTTCACCACACTCACCCAGGCCTTGGCAAACTCCACCCCCAAGTGAGTATTTGGTCAGAGATCCCCCTGCCTCAGGCTCCCATGGGTTTGCTGAGCAGGAGCCCCACACTCTGAGAAGGCCAGGAGCTGCTCCCACCATGACCTCGACCTCTGGGCACTGTACAATCCTTACCACAGTGGCCTCTTCCCCGAGGCTCTGGGGGGACATGGAGAGGTCCGGCTCCCCCGGGGGCACGCCACTGGCCTCTGCTTCCCAAGGTATGCTGGCGAGTGCCTCGGCCTCCCCTGCTGCTGTTGCTGCTAAACTCTCTTCATTATCTGGACCCTGAATAGAAAGTCAGCAGGAACCACATCAGTGACCCATGATGCTGATCCACCACACTGTGGTGAGGAACAGATGGCTGGGGCCCCTCACAGCACCTGTACACCAAGACCTCACCTCGCCTGGAAACCCACAGTGAGACATCAGACAGAAATACACAGGCCTGGCTTCCTCACACCACCCAAGCTGCGAGACCACCCCAGCATCCCACCTGTGTGGTGTGCCATCAGCCCTCCCTGCCAACCCCGAGGGGCATGTGCTCACCAGTAGCCCTTCCAAGCTCTGTCCCCTAATCAGAGAGTGCAGCTACTGCTGCTTAAGTCACTGTGTTGAAACAGAACTCTAGGTTCTCGGACTCCACAGCTTTCTTGTTGAAGCAGTAGTCTACCCTCGCGGACCACTCCCTGTCCCACTCTCTCCCTAGCCCAGTGCCATCTGGCTTCCACCACTCTGACAGCCCTGAAACTGCTCTCCCCAAGGCCACTCACTGTGAATGGACAAATTCAACGGATGTTTCTCAGTCCCTTGCTCGCTGGGACTTCTGGGAGGATCTGACATTGTTGGCCACACCCCAGAGCAGGCTGGCACCACTACTCACCCAAACTCCAACACAGCCCCCAAGCCTGGCCTCTTTCTCCAAGTTTGCTTCCCTACCTCTCCTCTCAGTAGTCAGGGTGGTCTTTCTGGAATTCTAATCTGGCTATATCCATTCCTTGTTTCTTACCCTTCAGTGACCCCCTATTACTGCTAATCTTCTCTGTGTCCTTAGAGCCTCTCCAGACATTTCTCCCTGACCCCTGGCTCACGCTTCACCCTGCAGGTATGCTGCCCTTCTTCAGGCTCCAGTTCTTTGCTCCTGCCCGCCCACCTTGCTGAAATATCTGTTTCACCCCCTCTGCTAGGTGACTTCTACTTACCCTCTCAGGCCCGCTTTCAGCATCCTTTCCCGAGGGCACTTTTGTGTCCCCCAGTCTGGGCTCTAGGCCCCTTTTTCAGTGCTCCCAGAACATCCTATGCTTCACCTACCACTGACCACAGCCCCTCTTACCACGCTGTCTTCAGGAATCAGGTCTATCCTATTTACTATCCATCCCTGAAACCAGGCCTAGTGCCCAGCACAGTGTAGCGCTCTGCACACCGCCACCGAATGGGTCAATGCTATTTAGTGCTTACTCCGACAGACCTGCCCCACGAGATTGTCACTGTGTTTCGCAGACAGATAGGGAAAGCCAGTGACTGCTCCCACCCAACACAACCCCCAACCCCAGACACAGGTGAAGGGGAGCTTGCACTCTCAGCTACTTACTGGAGTGACCCCTTCCTCTGGGTTCTGGGTGGACACAGAGAGGGTCGGTCCCCCGGTGGGCGCACTGCCAGCCCCTGCTTCTCCAGCAGTGCTGATGGGCACCTCGGCCAGCCCCACTGCTGTTGCTGCTAAATTCTGAAAACAAACGCATCATAAGAGACCATGTTTCTGGGCTCCCATCGACATGCCTGTGGCTGGAGAGAACAGACTGCCTAGCCTCCTCCAGCCACCTGCATTTCTGTAGCTTCTTTCCCTCAAGGACTTTCACATCTATGGTTTCATAAATCCAGGGATGGGAAAGACCGCCCAGGCACCTATGTCTGGTGTTCGATTTTGTGTTTGCACCTCCACTAACACAGAAATCACTGCTCCTGAGTCAGCCTGGTCTAGCTCTAGATACTTCTACTGAGACCCATTGCCTCCCTGTGACCTCCCCATATACCCATCCAGAAGGCATTAGACAATGTCTTTGCCCATGACAGTGCTTCAGAAATGTGTAGGCAGCACCTCTGTCCTCCTCAGCCTTCTCTAGGCTGGGAGACAGAGACATTCCTGCTTCTTCTCTCTCCCTGTGACTCAGTTTCCTTTGGGAATGCACAGGCAGATTCTCTGAAGGTTTCATAGCAATGGGGGAAATGGAAAGAGAGAGCAGCTTTGGAGCTGGTGACAGCAAATATGTCCCATCTTCATTTCCCAATGTTTGTTTACTTATCTATTGCAAAAATATGGTTCTTTTGGTTACAAAAAACACTAGGCTAATCAAAGTTAAAAAGATTTCCTTGCTGCAGGATTTCTCAGAATCTATAAAAAGAGGAATGTAGAATATAGCTTTTCCCAAAGTCATTTCACCACAGAGCCCCTTTTTCATAAAACATAATAAATTCTTGCAGAATTACTGTCCCAAGAAACAGTTAGAGGAAAGTTGAGGTCCCAGGATGTTAAAATGAGACTCTTTCTGACTCAGCGTCAGCTAAAGCCCCAAAGGGCAAGTGCAAGTTCACAGGCATCAGGTAATCTCCCCATGCTAAGACAAGGAAATGGCACCCGTTCCACCAGTTCCTGCCCATCTCCTACCTCCAGGCTGTGTAAGAAACCGCACAGGACTCATTTTGGGGATGAGTGCCTGGAGAGCAAGAATTCCTTTGGAAAGAATTTCCAGTGTACTGCGGCTCTTCTCCTCCCCTCTCCTCACTCCAAACCATTTGGTGAGCTGGGTATGTATTTCCTGGAATGTGGGAGGCTCAGGGACTGGTGTGTGATTTTCTCCAGGGTGAGAAAACAAGAGGAAGCCGTTTAGATTCAGAGTTGGGAGAGAGGGACAAAGGAAGAGAGGGGAAGGGGAGAGGAGAGGAGGGGGAGGTGAGGGAGAAAGAGAAGAGGAAGGAAGTGGGAAGAGAAGGGGAGGGGAGGAAAGGGGAGAGGAGGGGAGAAAATAAAAGCAGAGAGGAGGGAAAGAGGAGGTGAGAGGGAAAGGGGAGAGGAGGGGAGGGGGATGGAGAAGGGAGGGGTATTTGTCCTGCAGTTGCTTTGCTGGAGATAGACAAGATAAAATCTCTTCAAAGGTTGCTGGCTGAAATGGGCTGTAGTCAAAGGGACATGCAGAAGATCCGGTCACCCTGTATGGGGTGGAAGCCCGGGCAGAAGTTACAAGGCCAACTAAGGAACTTTGATCCTAGATCCCCTGCAGGAAGACCTCCCAGGAACCACAAAAGCCCCCATAAGAGAGAGTTCCAACCATCAGGCATCTTCCACACCAAAAGCCCAGATCATAATTTGACCAGTCAAATACGACTGTGCCCATTTCTCCAGGTGGGCCAGCCCCTGCAGATGTTCAAAATAGCTCTAGAGGATGGGGAGGTCATGAGGATAAGGAGGAGAAAGAAGAAAGAAAATAGAGAGGAAACCCCTAACCATGCTTCCCTTTCCTGGCAGGTTCCTAGTCTACAGCAGGCCTGAGTGTAGAAGAGGGGAAACTGTGCTTGTAATTTTGTTGAATTTTTGATATTATGCTGGGCTTGACTTTTAAATATCTGTGAAAATTGACTGTTACCAGATAGTGACTGAGAGAGCTGTGAGAACTGTCTGAAGTTTTCATCCCAGGAGAAGGGAAGGAATGAGCTGGCATTGTGGGTTTTCAGCAGGAGCCATTGTGAGAAAACTATTTATGCTTTAATTTTGCACCCTAGGGAGCTCAGCATTTCAAAACTGGCTTTGCAGGTGTAAAAGCCAATTACCAAACAATAGCATGAATGCACCTGCAGTTAATCTGATTCTGTCTTGAAGGGGACTCAGAGGGTTGATAAAGCTATGTGTCTTCACAACTGAGCAGGAGGGCGGGAGTGCGCTAGTGAGGCCTGGACACTCGTCACAGGCAAGTGTGAGGACAAGCTTGCACCGCATATCTCCCACCAGTTCTGTGCATCCCTGGAGAGCCTCTGTGGCCCTGGGACTCTGACCTCCTCTGTACCATGAGGACAGAAGAAATCTTGATGCTGTTCAACCAAAATCCTGTGGTTCTCTCTGGTGCCCAATAAAATCATCACCAAGTTTGAAATAAGCAAACAAGTCTATTACTGACTAATCAAATGAAATTTACCATCTACTCACCTTTTCTTCAGCTATGTCAAGGAATGCCCCAGCCCCTGAGCCGCTGTCAGTAATGGGGTCACCATCCACAGAATGAATTCCCTCCAGTGTGTCATTCAGGATCTCACCAGACCCTACAGGAAGCAGGTATTCTGCTATCAATAACTACATTTTGCAGTTTTGGAAAAGAATGAAGTATCTCTTCACCAACTAACTTGGAAAGATGTTCAGATACCATGACACAGAGTCAAGTGGCGGAAAAAAAAAAAAAACAAGTTGCAGAACAACATACATGGCAAGGCATGTGTGGTTTTCATTCCAGGCTCTGGCACCACCTGCAGGCAAGTCGCTCAACCTCTGCCTCAAGTTCCTTATCTAGAAATGGGGAATTACAGTAATTCCTACCTCATAGGGTTGCTTTGAGTACTATGTGTCACAAGAACTAAGTAAGTTAATGCAAATAAAGCATTGAGGACAGCCCCTGGCATATAGTAAGCAATTGCCAAATGTTCATTGTTGATATGGTTTTATGTGTGCAGAATAGAAAAAAAGTATGAGTATAGATGTCTTATCATTATTATATATATAATATTCATGTTATGTAATGATTACTATATGACGTATATAATATATACACATATATGTATATGTATGTGCTTATATATGTATATACTTGGCTAAACCACAGTGTTTAGTACTGATATTTTCCAGAAGATAGGAGTTTAAGAAGAGGAAACTATTATTTTTCTGGTTTATACAACGGAGCATTAATTTAATTATTCCCACATGCATATATTTCCTTTGCAATTTAAAAAGCAGCCTGGAATCGGAGGCTGAGGTGGGCAGATCACTTGAGGTCAGGAGTTCGAGACCAGCCTGACCAACACGGAGAAATCCCATCTCTACTAAAAATACAAAAATTAGCCAGGTGTGATAGCACATGCCTGTAATCCTAGCTACTTGGGAGGCCAAGGCAGGAGAATCACTTGAACCCAGGAGGCATAGGTTGCAGTGAACACAGGTTGTAGAGCTGAAATTGCACCACTGCACTCCAGCCTGGGTAACAGAGTGAGATTCCATCTCAAAAAAAAAAAAAAAAAAAAAAAAAAAAAAGCAGCAGCAGCAAACGGAGTTTTGAAACAAAGAAAAGTTCTTCATTGGCCAGGCATGGTGGCTCATGCCTGTAATCTCAGTATTTTGGGAGGCTGAGGCAGGAGGATCATTTGAGCTCAGAAGTTCAAGACCAGCCTTGGTAACATAGTGAGACCCCATCTCTACTAAAATAAAAAAAAAAATTAGCCAGGCATTGTGGCATGTGGCTGTAGACCCAGCTGCTCAGGAGCCTGAGGAGGGAGCTCATGCCTGGGAGGTTAAGGCTGCAGTGAGCCATGATTGTGCCACTGCACTCCAGTCTGGGTGACAGACCAAGACCCTGTCTCAAAAAAAAAAAAAAAAACATTGCGCTACCATGACTGCATGCCTATTATGGCTGGGCCAATGCCAAAATTGTCCCATGCACTCCCTCCAGCAACCCTCCTGCTGGCCCACCTGTCCTGCCCACCGGGACCCCTCCCACCACCTTCCTGCAGGTGGGCAGATCCTGGGTGGAAATCCCACTATCACCCTGTAACAGGTGTGTCCTGCCGGAACCACACATTAACACCTCAGTATTATTAACCCTGGGAATGAGACTGAGGCTGGGAAGGGCCCTGAAGCCAGGTCAGCCTGTCCCCGGGCCAGGCCCTTCCCACACACGCTGTGCTCACGCAGGTCCCATGGTCACAATAACTCTGGGGGAGGTGCGAAATCCTCCAAAGGACTCTGCCCCGCTACCCACTTCTGTCCCATCCTGTGATGGAAGCATGGCCAGCACGGGTCGAGCACGCTCGTCCTCCCTGCTCTGACCACCAGGGGGTGCCGTGCAAGCAGCCGATTGCCTGGTGTCCAAGGCCTGACCCCTGGAACGAAGGAGGTGGGGTGGCCCCTTCCATGGGCCAAGATGGCGTCAGGGAAGCTCCGAATGCAAATATTAGGGGCTTTGCTTAGCCAGGGCTTTCTCCCACCATCTGGGCTGTCTACACATCAAGAAGAAAAGGACAATTTGGCTAGCTCCGTTGCTTTCGACTGACCTTTTGTCTGCTAGATAAGGAGTGTGGCTGATACCGGGAACAGGCGAGCTGCATTGGGATCAGAGCCCAGTCCCCACGTGGACCTCATCTCCTCAGTCTAGGAAAGTCCTCGCCCCAGCCCCTTCGCCTTACCCCCTTGCTCAGAGATCCTAATTCCACCCCTGAGAAAAGTATTCGCAATTCAGAAACCACTTCCACAACCGCGGCCAGATTCAGCCCTCTCAACCACCCAGTAGCGGGGATTGTTCACGCTCCCAGAGGACGGCTAAGGAATCTGAAGCTTGGAAACTGATCAGCAACTTGCCCCAGGCCGACAGCAAATAGGGAGCTAGGCAGGGCCTCCTTCCAAGCTGTCTGACTCTCCCCAGCGGGCAGTATTTCCACAGCAACACCCAGCCTCCTTGGCTGTGTCATGACGTTATTAAATTATCCTACAATGTTTTCTCTCCAGTTCTCTATACCTTCTCTGACCCACAGACTCCCCAAATTTAGTTGTTAAAATAACACTCATTAACTGATGACAGAACCAAAAAGAATAGTGATACATATTATTGTAGAAGACTTGTATTAATAAAATACAGAAGTACAATAAAGTAAAAACCATCCATAATCCTACCACTCAGAGATAACTGCTTATGACATTTTGATGAATATTACATCTAATATGTAATGTATCTAATACATACACACATCACTCTACATAGCTATATGTAAATAGATATAAATAACATATTCAAAATTAGGGTCACAGACACATAGTTTTGGAATTTGCTTTTTTGGTGGACTATACCACGAGTATGTCCCTGGGTCATTAAATCAGATCTGTATCACCAATGTCAGGGCTGTATGTATGAATGAAATAGAATTTGCTTGACCAATCCCTACTGTGGGCAGTTTGGGTTGTTTTTGTTCCTGAGAACAGTGCTGCCAGGAATGATCTTGTACTTACATCTTCAGTCTGAAGTGACAGCCCCTCTGAGAAATGACAGTAACCACAAGCGATCTCAGGGCTTGGGCATATGCCAAGCTAGTGCTTGGGGATAGTGTTTGATGCCTGGACTTTTGCCAGTGCTCCTCTGCAAGGGTAGGGGGACAAGAGACAGGGGCCAGAGCCCTGGATGGGCAGCCAGGGGACCAGCTCTTCTCCTAGGGACTGCTGCTGCCTTGCTGGGTAACCAGCCCCTCTCTGGCCATCAGTTTCTCACTTGTGCCACACAGGAGTTTAGCTGATCCTCTGAGAGTTGGGGAGTTTGTGGCAAAAGTCAGAAAGGGTTGGGACTCTGGACTTAGCTTTTCCAAGTGTTGGTTTTTCCACCTATAAAATAGTGGCTAGTGCTATTGAGTAGGCGGTATGCTGTCAGTGTTGGAGACAAAATATGCAAACACTTGGCACACCGTAGGTATTCAACAAACAGCAAGGATTATTACAAGCTTTTCTGTTAAACCCCAGAAGGGGTAGAGTCTGGGAGTCAGAAGCTCCAGATCTGGGGGTTAGAAGCTCTGCTATCTGAGATCAAATGCCAGCTCTGCCATCCACAAGCTGTTTGCTCCTGGCTGGGTTACTTAACTTCTCTGTGGCTCAATTTCCTCATCTTGTCTGTAAAATGAGGGTGGTTCTCACCCTTTCTTAAAGGGTTGAGGGGAAGGTTAAATGAGATTCTGTATGTTACATATGTGGCCCCTGCTGGACACATAGTAATCACCCAATAAAAGGCCACTATGTAGGCATGTGCATCCGGACTTGCCTTGTTCGGGGCTGCTGTGCTGGATGATGCTCATGTTGGTGGTTTCCGGGGTCCCCTCAGGTACAGGTTCACCGGAAAGTTCCATGTCCTCAAAGGGGGAGGATGGAGTTGGAGGTGTGTTTATGGGTTCAACTTTTGCTTCTTTGGGCTGAAGGGAGGAAAAATGAGACGCAAAATGATATACTTGGCAGTAAAGCAGAAGAAGTGACAGTGAATATCATTGGAGAAAATAATATATCCACAAGATGCTGAATAAACCAAGGGGAAAGTTTGGTCCCGCTTGGTGTCTACCTGGGCAATGGCTGTACCTCCCAGGGCCTGAAAGAGGTGCCTACTAGAGGTCATTAGATTCTGTTCAGTTGACAGTCAGACTATTCATCTCAGCCAAAACTCTCTGAGCACAGGGATCATGTTTCCGTGATTCCCAAATCCCAGATCAGTCAGAGGAGGTGCCCATTAAAGATCTGTTAGATGAGGGAATGATTAAATGAATTAGTGAACAAATGAATGAACCAGGCTGTACTCAATAAACTGCATATAAATTCGATGCCAGATGTGCACTAGTCGTAAACACCTATGAAAATGAAAGATGGGTATGGTTCCTTCCAAGGAAACTTCAGCATCTACATAGTTTTCCCAAAGCCAGTCAGTGTCTCAACCAACGTTACCAACTAGAGAAAAACAAACAAACAAAAACCCAACAGAAACACAGAGCACTTCAGTGATCTAGGCAGAAATCCTGGCATGGGCTCTGAAAGTCACGACACCACCCCTGGACCCAAGCAGCAGTTCACGGGACCCAGGGCTCGTCAGCATTCAGATAGCCTCATCACCTTCTAAGCTCAGGGGGCTGGGGATGCATGGAAGAATCCTGTGGATCAGTGTTGAACTCGTGGTATGAATAAGAAACCAATCTTTGTTTTGTAAGGCACTAAGATTTTAAGGTTAATTTGTTACTGCAGCATCACTTACCTATCCTGACTAATCACAGAAGGTTGTTTCCTTAATTCAGAATCTAGTAAATCAATAAATTTCTGGTCCATGGAACAAGGAGGATTCTTAGAATCTCCATAATTTAGAATGTAATAGTTCAGTTCTTACAGTCAGACCTGGATCAAATCCCAGCTCTCCACTTATAAGCTCAGTTATGTTGGGCAAGTCATGGAGCTTCACTGAGCCTCAGCTTCCTCCTCTGTAAAAATGAGGACAATAAAGAACTACTTGAAGGCAGGAAATAGAAAATGCATGGAAGGGCTAAGCACACCTTTATGTTTAGTACAGAAATATTCCATATTCATTACTGAAAACACTGTAAGTGCAGATGAGCAAAAAGAGAAATCACCTCGAGTCCTAACACCCAGAGACAATCACCATGGATTCTATTGTACTGTAAAATCTTCAGGGTGGAGGTGGGAGGAAAGGCTTTAAGGAGTTGGGCCTTGGAGAATGAGCAGGGTTTCAGAACACAGGGGTGGAGGGTTGATGGAAGTCAGGGCCTGGCAACTTGAGCTTGGCAAGAGCCCAGGGCTTGAGGAGGGAAGCAGTGGAACAGAGCCCAGGGAGGCAGGGAGAGGGAGGGTCTGGTTCTATGGGGAGACGAATGGGCTTGAACCCAAGGGTCACAGGCAGCCACTGGGAAGCATCGGGGGAGGAAGTGGTGGGGGCAGCTGTGTGTTTTAGAGAGTCCTCACTGGTGGCAGTGTGATCATGGACTAAGGGAGCTGAGGCTTATGCCAGGTGACTGGGAGGTGGCACTAAAGAAGTCCACAAGGCAGGAACCAGGGCAGCAGTAGGAGCACAGAGCAGGTACCTCCCCAGGGAAGGTTGTGAACAAGACCAGGTGGGATGTCCCCATTTCACCCAGATGGATGTTCATCTAGCAGGGTAGATAAAGACCCCTACCCAGGAGGTTCCTCTCCTCTCCCTGTGAGGGATCAAGGCAAAAGCCACTCCATCACTGGTTCAGGAACCAATGCTCAAGCCCCTGAATGCTCATCTCTAGTCTGGAGTGAGGCTGCTGGTGGCTGGTAGCAAAGGTGCTCTATAAGGCATTTGGGCTTTGGGATGAGGCAGGCAGGGCAGGTGAGGGTTTGGGAAACACAGGAAGACAACGGGATGGGGGTTGAGCTCTGTAACTCAGGGTGGCTGAAGTTGGAATCCATCCCATCAGCCAAAAACTTCTTTTGTCAAACTCCCAACAAGGCATCCCAAGCCCCCTGCAAGGACAGGGCATGGTTCTGGTGAGCTGACCCTCAGGAGTGAGAGTCACAGGACCTGCCTCAAGTAAGTGGCTTTGGTTTTCAGTGGTCCATGTGGATGGGGATCCAGTGTGGCCTGTGACAAAATAGGAATCTCAAGTCTGAAGAATTGTTATTAAAAGTGTTGCAATTTGCTGAGCCCAGGCTCACGTACACACAATCAGATTGACTCATTCTGCACATATTTCCAGAGGCCCTACTGTGTGCCAGGTCCTTGGCTAAGCGAGCCCTGGGGACACAGAAATGAATAACTAAGACAGAATGTCTGTCCTCAAGTTGTCAGGCAATGGAGAAGCCCCAGACCTAGACCAGACGCAACAAACCACGATTTGGTGTGATACATGGGATGGCGGGAGTGAGAGCCAAGAGGGAGGAGGGGGCTTAGCTAAACAATGGCCTCCAAGGAGAGGATGTGGACTGGAGCCTGAAGGCTAAGTAGGAACTTGCCAGGCAGAAAGGGGAGCTGGAAGGGGCCCTCCAGGCAAACAGAACCGCAGGAACTAAGGCGCCATGGAGGGGAGAAAGTGCTTGGTCTGTTCAGAGAACTGTGAGCATCTGGGTGTGGTTGGGAAAGAGGCCCTGGCTGAGGACCAGAATCACCTGCAGAGCTTTTTGTCAATACAGATTCTAGGATCTTTCACTCCAGATCTACTGAAGTTGAACATCCAGGTCTGCAGCCCAGGCAAGAATCTGCGTTTAAAGACCAAGCCCCACCCACGGTGCCTCCACAAACACCCATGCTACCCCCACCCCCGACACACACTTACAACAAATGACCCTGATGCACAGCCAGGGCTGAGAACCATAGGGATGTTAATTCCAACAGCATAGAACTTTCTGAAAATGCAAAGAATTGGATAGTAAGGACCCCGACCCTAAATGGGAAAGAGAGCAAGGAGGGGCAGACTTTCTAGTCCCTGTCCACTCAGAAAGTCTGCAATTCAGTTCACTGGCGATGGCTCATGTCTCAAAGGGTGGCAGGCTGGAAAGGCTGAGGATGGGGAAGTGAGATTCATTCCAAGAAAGAAGCCAGACAGACAAGGGAGGGGGGGGACTGTCTGAGCTGAAGAGGGAAATTCCCCGTCCTAGAGGGTGGCTGCTGAAAAAAGCCATAAAGCCCTTCCGGGAGATGTTAAAAGGGGGAAGTCCCCAGCTCAGGGGTGGCATGACTGAGTGCACTCTGGACCCTGGGCTGGAGACCTGGCTCTGCCACCTTCAGGCTGGGTGGCCTCCAGCAATCATCTCCATGACCTCAGTGCCCTTCTATGTAGAAGAGACCCCAAACACCTCCCTGCAAATGAGACTAAAGGAAATGGAAGCACACGGAAGCGCGTGAACTGTGGCGCAGACAGACAGGCGCACAGGGAAGGCATTCTGACCATCGGGAACAGACAGGTTAAGGTCAGCACCGCCAGGCCTCGAGGCACAGCCCAGGGGAATCCCCTTAATAACTGAAGGCAGCCACAGGGGTTTGGCATGCCTGTCAGCCCCAGCCACCGGCCAACCAGGAGGCCCCAAGGGGAACAAGGTATCTGCACTATGCCCGGTGCTGAGTCCAGCCCTGAGCTGCTCTCTGACACATCACATCACCTCCCTTAATCCTCACAACAAAACCATTGGTCAACAGTAGCAACAACAGACACTGTCCAAGCATTTTGCACAGGGCAATTCATCTAATTCTCACACTAACCCTGTGAGGCAGGTCCGCTGTATTGTAACCAAGGAGGAAACTGAGCCTTGGAGAGCTTAAGTCACTTGCTCAAGGTCAAGAGTCAGTAAGTGGCAGAGCTGGGATTCACGCTTGATGGAACTCTGATTTGCACCAGTTCCCATAAAACCACTGAGAAAAGTGGGGCTGGGGAAGCATGGAAAGAAAGTGTTTGAGGTTCCCCAAAGGCCACCAAGTCCATCAAATCACCAACAACTTTTTCTTTTTCACTTTTCCAGAGAGTCTGGGGATTGATTTCGTAGCCCCCCTTGGCTGACACGTGCCCCACATCTGCCCCAGTGCCTGCAGTGCCATGGTCCTGGGGAGGGTCCAAGGCTGGAGAGTCAGTGGGGCCTGGCTTGAGTCCTGACTTCACTACCCTGTGACCCTGGCAGAGCCACCCACCTCCTGGGCATTCATTTCTGAATCTGCACAATGGGGTTGATGCCACCTACCTTCAGGGTGGCAAGAAACAAAAGTGAAATCATGTATACAGTAGCACCAAGTACACAGTGGTATCAAGAAATGCCAGTTCTCTTCCTTCCCCTCCCACTTCTCTACCTCTGTCCAAAGTTGCCCAGCTCCAGTGCCCCATCCCAAGTTTCTCTGCCTTACTCCTTTCCCTATCCTGAGGTGATCACCTCAGGCTCAAACCCCACTCTCCTTTCCTGTCCCTCTCTCAGGGCCACCTTGGGCTGTGGCACCTCTGCCTGAGTTGGCCTCACTGTGAATTGTGAACTGGTGCACAGGGCAGCATCAGATGTGAAGGCCACTCTGTGCCCTGCTGCCCCAGGTTGGGACATGCCAGTGGGATGGCCAAGGGCTGATGGGCACACAGGATAGCCACACACCCAAAGCAGTTGCCCTCCCTAATCACTAGGTAGGCAGGCAACTTGGACCCTTGACTTCCTTCATCCCAGCTGACCAAGAGTTGGCTGCCATCCTGGGGATGGACTTTTGCAATACCACCCAGGCCATGACCCCATGGATGGTCATCAGGAGACTCATGCTGTTAACCCAGTCCTGCCCACACACCCTTGAGTCAGTGTCTTCCCCTCTCTGGGCCTTGGTTTGCTCAGTTTGTATACAAAGGGCAGTTTTCTGTACACCTCTGTATAGAAAGAGATGTACAGAAGGACTTTTAGGTCCTTCCAGTGCTAACAGACTCTGGTTCTATTCTGCTGCATCCACAGCTGTGCTGCATCCACAGCCCTGCTGCTGCCCAAGGTCTGTAATCTCCAGCCACTGCCTTATTTCCATTTCCCTGATTTCTATTAGAGATGAGTTTACAAAGTAGCCCAACCAGGCAAGGAGATGGCTGAAGCTCTGCTGTATTTAGTGACTCCACTGCTGCTTGCTGTTTTCATTAAAAACAGGCTCCTGGGTGTCCCCATAGTCCCCACAGTCTGACTCAGTGCTTTCAAAACGACTTCCACGTCTCAGCCACAGGGTGCAGCCCCAGGAGGGAAGAGGTCTAGGACACTGGAAGTTAGGATTGCCTTTCCCATGCGTCAGAAATGCGCTCCCTGGAGGACTGTGTGACTCACAAGACTAGGGTCCTGACTGTGCTTTCACAGCTGGAGCCCTGAGCAAATGTAACAAGAGCCATCGTTCAGGGCCGTTTCTCTCACGCCAGATGCTGGGCTGAGGCTTGTCCCTGTACTTCATCATCTAACCCTGGAAACAACCCTATGAGATAGGGCTATTAGAATCACCATTCTTGGAAGAGGAGTTGAGGTTCAGAATGGTTGAGTAAGTTACCCAAGGCCACAGGCTTTTTACCCAAGGTTCCAAAGCAATAGAGCACAGCGTTTGCCCTTGACAGCCCTCTGATGGTCACGAACACAGGGTGGCACTGAGGGAGCTGGTGCTCCAGTTCACCAGGGGATTTTGCAAAGTGCCCATTGGTTGGCTTTCCTGACCTTCCCAGATGAGTCAACGATTAAGCTCACAGGTCTGAAAACAAAGAGGTCAGACCCAGGGCTCTGGGGTCCCTCTAGTAATTCTCAGCCTGCTAAAAGCTGACCAAGATCACATGGCACAGCATCCCAGTACTCACCGGGGCTTGAGTGTAGGTGACGGCTTCTAAGATCTCAGCTACTCCGTCTGCCTCCTGCAGCCCACTGGTCTCTCCAGATGCCTGTGTGGAGACAAACTGTGCCACATACTGGGCAGAGTGGGCAGGGCCCATAAGAGTTGGACAACTGGGAAAGTCACAGAAACTGACAAACCGACTCTCCTACAGAGGAACCGTGTGTGTATGTGTGTGTGTGTCTATCAGAGACAGAGTGGGGTTAAGGAGACAGCGTGTGTGCAGTGTGCATGGTTGGTTATTTGTTTTATTTATTTATTTTATTTTTTTATTTTTTTGAGACAGGGTCCCTCTTACTCTGTCACCCAGGCTGGAATGCAGTGGTGCAATCTCGGCTCACTGCAAACTCTGCCTCCTGGGTTCAAATGATTCTCCTGCCTCAGCCTCCCGAGTAGCTGGGATTACAGGCACGCACCACCACACCTGGCTAATTTTTGTATTTTTAGTAGAGACGGGGTTTCACCATGTTGGCCAGGCTGGTCTCGAACTCCTGACCACAAGTGATCCACCCACCTCGGCCTCCCAAAGTGCTGGGATTACAGGCGTGAGCTACTGCACCCAGCCTGGTTGTTCATTATATTTCTTTCCACATTTTATTGCTCTAACAAAATACACAATCATTTTACACTCTAACATATGGTCTTTCATTCTATCCAGGTCCCCACCACTCTCCCAACCTTTGTGAGGCTGTCATTGGAATCTTGCGCTGGGAACCATTACAGCCGAATCATGACTTCCTGGCGTTACCTAATCTTTCTAATTAGCCTCCTAAAGGCAGACAAGGAGCCCGAGTGCTGTGATTTTGTGACCAGTCCTTTGTTCTTGGACCCTTGGGTTGTTTCTACTTTTTCAGTATTAATGGTAATGCAGAGACGAACACGAGACTACACTAATCAGCATCACATGACTGTCAGGCTGGGACCACTGGCTCATGGAACACAGGCATTCTCACGGGCCCAAATGCCACTTCTCAGGGGCTTTCCAACAGAATCCACAGCATTTTGTTTTTCATAAAGTTAACGAGATCAATTTATGTTCTGTTGCGGGGTTGACGCCACCCAAAGAGCAACAGGAATTGTAGGAATGTGCTACCTTCTGCTCGCCTCTGACTGCATCCTGGGACCCCTTCTCCCTGGGAGGCCTCACCCTTGCCATTGTTCAGGCATCACCTGCTCCCTAACTTGTTTCAAGTTCCGCCTCTTTCCTCTTCCTGCTCCCACCTGACACGTTGAGTTTGGGTTTGAGGATCTCCCTGTGTTCCCATCACACTGTGCTCTGCCACTGTATTTTGGTATGGAAGTGCATATGAGCAGCTTATTAAACAGTTCCCACTTATCCCTTTATCTCCAGCACCTACCCAGGGCTGCCACCCAGCAGGTGCTCAGTCAATCCTTAGAGGAAGGGAAGGAGGGAAGGAAGAAGGAGTCATCTTTTTTTTTCCTGCCCACCAGCTTAGGAACAAAATCATTTGCCAAGCATAAAAGCTAAGTTGAGGATCGTTTTTTATGGGACTTTACTCCCAGAATATCTCAGTTTTAACTTTGATTTTAGAATCCTGACACCATTTCTTGGCAAGAAGGCAGGAAAGCAGGCCATTGACGGCCACAGCCATGGAAGATCCTGACACCTTGTAAGAAACACAGCTCCCCGCACAGAGATGGCTGACGCTCTTTAAAAAGTGAAATCACGCCAAAAGCCCAAAATAGGACTTGAGGCAGCACTTGCCAAAATGAGAGGTTTCAGAAACTCCATGCCACTGTCTGGGCATCCAGCCCTCCCCAGGCCCCAGCTGCTGGGGTTGCAGGGCCCTCTGTGGGATGGTAGGGGAGCTCACCGAGGACTCTTCGGGGTCGCACAGCTCCTCGGGAGTCCTGGGGTCAGGGTGCACGGTGAGCTGTTGGAGGGAGCCCTGAGGAAAAGAGAGGGATCAGAAGCCATGGTTTGCATGTTCACAGCATGACTGCCAGTGGAAGACATGATTGTTTTTGTAATGGAGAAGCACAGGTAAAAGCACGGGAGTGAGGATGTATGGCCTGTGGCCTCAACCACAAAGCCAGGCCACCTCTTGGCCCACTCTCAGTTATGGGGGGATTCTCCTTGGGCCAGTATCATACTGACCCCTGGGCCAGAGAGGTCCTTGGGAGCATAGTGTTCAAGTATGGGCACTACAGCAGCCTCCTGTCTCCAGGTCCCCAGCTTGTCAGTGGCAGGCCCTGAAACACACGTCTCCCTCTCCCAGAAAGCTCTTTCCCCTGCAGCTCAACACTTCTGGGTTTGAAGGCCCCATCCCAAGAAGGGCTGCTGCAGCCTCCCTGCCTCCACTCTCAGCCCCTCTCCCCACACCTGACAGCTTCCTCTCCACGAGGCTCCCAAAGTGAGCATTTAAAAATTGCCCATCGGATTTTAACTTCTTAACATTCTCCAATGTCTTTCACTCTACTCCAGATAAACCCAGACTCCAGCCCATGGTGCTGTCCTGTTCACCAATGAGACATCAGTAAATACGTGGGCTGACTAAATGAGTACCTACAATAACTTAGTGATCTTTAGAATGCCTTATACATAAAAGCCCATTTTGATAGTAAAGTCAGTTTAATTTTTTTAAGTGCGCATTGCCTAGAAGGAGGGAAAAGCTACCTCTCACTCTGGTATTCTAGTGTATCCCACCTTTTCAGAAATTACTTAAGTGCAATTGCCACCCATATCCAAAGATCAAACCATTTAGGGCTATAACAAACCTTGCTCTTTTATATAAAATCTTAAAACGTTCAAAGTGTTTTCACACAGGTTACCTTATTTGACCTACAAGCCTGTGGGGTAGGCTTTCTTATCTCCACTTACAGATAAGGAAACAGAGAGGATCAGAGAATCCAGATAACTGTCTCAAATCTACAAGATAAGTTGAAAACTGAGGATGAAAATCTAGGTTTTGGGGTTCCAGGCCTAGTGTTATTTCCCGTCGTAACACGCATGCCTCTTTGAGGACATAAGAATAAAATACTAACAATAATAGTTGCTCCATTTATGGCATGGTGAGTCTCTGACCATCCACCTCCCTGGTCTGCCTGAAGTGGGACTTTGACTCACAGTGAATCTCTCAAGTCCTGTAGCTCCTGCATTGCCCACGAAGATTCCAGCGCTGGACTCGAAAGTCAAAGCCTGAGGGGACCGCTGGAAGGGGATGCGGCTGTGCTCCTCACAGTCCACGAGGAGGGCCACTTCCTCACCCTGGACAATCACGGCGAAGCGGTTCCACCTGTGGGTCATCACAGGCACCGAGAAGGCAGCAGCCTCTTGGGACACGTGGGAGCCCGGCTCCGTGTAGTAGAGGATGACCCGCTGGTGGCCATCCTCCACACCTGAGAGCCGCAGGCCCAGGTAGATGACCTTCTGGAAGGCATCAGTGATGGCGAAGAGCACACCGCCATGGGTGCTGCTGGGCTTCACCATGACGCTGATGGCGAAGTCCCTGAAGAAGGTGGATGGGATGAGAGTCCTGGCTGGGCGGCCGACATTGGCACCAGGGCCAAAGCTGTAGGCCGGGAAGCCACCATAGCCTGTGACAAAGGATACAGACGAGGGCAGCGGGACACCGATCAGCTGCGTGAGGTCCAGGTGACCCTGGGAAGCAGACTCTGCAGGGAGGGAGAGAGAGACCATGCCTTATAGGTATATTCCACTTTGCTTGAAAATGAGGAAGAAATGCAGTCACAAGTGAAACAGGATCACTCAGGAACCCCACTGAAACTGTAGTTCCTAAATGGTTGTTTTTCAAACGTTTTTGACAACGACTCACAATAAGAAATGCATTTATACTGCAACCCAATATACACACGTGTAGACAGATATCTGTAACACTGAAACAAAAATTTCATAGAACATGATTGGCTTTTAATACTCACCAGGCACTCAAATATTTTTCTTTCCATTTAATTATTCTTTTTCTGTTTCATTTTATTAAAAACATGCTGGTAATGAACTACTAAATTGATTTTGTAACCCACTAAAAGTTCATGACCTGCAGTTTAGAAAACGCTTATGAGTAATCCCTAGAATATACAATGTTCCCCCATCAACTTGGAGATTTTTTTTCCCCACTATAAAACTGAACAGGGGCCAGGCATGGTGGCTCACACCTGTAATCCCAGTATTTTGGGAGGCCTAGGCGGGTGGATCACTTGAGGTCAGGAGTTCGAGGCCAGCATGGCCAACATGGTAAAGCCTCGACTCTACTAAAAATACAAAAATTAGCCAGGTGTGCTGGCACATGCCTGTAATCTCAGCTACTTTGGAGACTGAGGCATGAGATTCGCTTGAACCCTGGAGGTGGCAGTTCTAGTGAGCTGAGATTGCACCACTGCACTCTAGCCTCAGTGACAGAGGGAGAGTCCATCTCAAAAAAAAAAAAAAGAAAAAAAAAATACTGGATAGGTTTGTTTTGTTTTGAGGTCTATTGTTTAAGTCCCTCCAGTGTGAGGGGAAAATCAGGGACAGAATGAAGTGTTCCCAGGCCTCAGAGCAATTGAAATTTGCATCATTGTCATTGCCTTTGACATCACCGCCATCATCATCATCATCATCACCACCATCATCATCACCATCATCATCATCCACATTCCCTACGCTCTCCCTGTACCAGGCCCTGCTCTAAGCTCTCTATATACATTAGCTCATGTAATCCTCACAACAAGCCTATGAGGTTAGGTACTGTCATCCCCATCTTACTTCTGAGAAAACTGAGGCTTAGAGAAATTAACAAATTTGCTCAAGGTAAGTTGCATGCAGGTTTCAAACCCAGAGCATCTGACCCCAGAGGCTATGCCACCACACCTTGCAGGGAGAAATGATGGGGCTCCATTACGGTGTCCTGAAAAAGACCCCAGGCTCAAGAATGTTGGCCTATCCAACTATTTTCCCCACGAGAAGGCTGCAGCCTGGCTTGCAGCAACATGCACCCACTCTTGGAGTTGATAGCCACGGTACCAGCAGTGAGACAGGAAGGCAGGTCCCAGAGAGGGGGGGACAAGACGACTGCAGCCAGGACAATGCACAAGTAACACCCTTTGGCCTTGGAAGTGAAATCAGATCCTGAGGATTCAACCAGATGAGGAGGCCTGGAATGAGTGAGGATCAGAATCAAGAGGTGTCCTCCTCTGGAGGCCAGAGGGCAGGGCAGACTCACCTGATGGCTGTCCAGGCTATGGCCAAAGGCCAGAGGCCATTGAGACTCTGAGTGATTTCTGGGGACTTGGCAGGTTGGTCTCCAGAAAAAACCCCAAACACTAGAGGGGCCCTCTAAGAAAGCCCTACCTGAGGAATCAGCCTGATTTCCAGTTTACCCAACTTGTCACCGTCTTATTAGACACAACTATGTAGCTCTGTGACCTCCAGTGAGTCACTGAACCACTCCAAGTCTGAGTGTCTTCCTCTATCATACAGGCACTAGAATGGGCTCCAAAAGAATGACTAAATGAGACAGTCCAGGGAAACCCCTGGTTAATAATGGTAGCAATGCAACAAACATTCACTATTCTTTATTTTTATTATATCCACTGAACAACGTCAAGAGGTCAATGGAAAGGGATAATCACTCCTGCAGCACTGACCAGGAAAGCAAGGCTGACATGGGAGCCTGCCTCTGTGCCCTTGAGCTCCCTTACAAGGAATAATAACAATGTGGTTTTCATGCATAGTTTTACTTAGTCCTCAAAGCAGCCCTGGAAATTCACTGCTCTTATCCCTTGGGAAGATGAGATGACTGGCCCGAGGTTACCCAGCTAGTAAGTGGCAGGACATTTTCGAGCCACGGCTGGTGTGATTTCTGGCTGATTCACTGCTGCAGCCTCACTGAGATGGGGGAGTCTCTACCAGGGTGGTGAGTGGGGCTCCACCTAGTCTGCCTACTGTATCAATGACCCTTCAGCAGCAAGAAGGATGGAGTCAAGACTCCAGGTGGTCCAGGAACTCAAACTTCCCATGAATGGGTACGTGTACTCAGTGGCTGGGAGAGGGAGACGCCCTGGCTGCCGTGCCCCGACCCCGACTCCACAACACTCACAGAGAAGGCTGCTCACGGCCAGTACTAACTTCAATTATTATGAAATATCTAGGTTACACAAAAAAATACAGTATAAAGAGCAATACGAGGCACTTGGTTGTTAAATGGTTAAAATGCCAAAGTTTATGCTATGTATGTTTAACCACAATTTTTAAAAACATGAGTAATTAGCCCATAGGTTTGTTGTGAGGGTTAAAGGACATAATACAAAGTGCTGGCACATGGCAAATGCCTAAAAAGTGGTGGATATCATGGCTGGACACACTGTGGCTCACAACTGTAATCCCACCACTTTGGGAGGACAATGAGTGCAGATTGCTTGAGCCCAGGAGTTCAAGGCCAGCCTGGGCAACATAGTGAGACCTCATTACCACAAAACAACAAAAAAGCCAGGTGGTACGCACCTGTAGTCCCCACGACCCAGGAGGCTGAGGTGGGAGGATTGCTTGAACCCAGGTGGTCAAGGCGGCAGTGAGCCATGATCATGCCACTGCACTCCAGCCTGGGTGACAAAGAGAAACCCTGTCTAAAAAGAAAAAAGAAAAAAAGTAGCCATCATCATCATCATCATCATCATCGTTGTCGTCATCTAGACTTGCTGATTTAGAAAAGAACCGCAGAGGTCACCTGACACAACTCTATCTGTGGATAAGGTTGTATCAGGTTGTAACTGGTGACCTCTAGGGTTCTATCATACCAGACCCTGCCCTGTCTGATATGATAACCAGTAACCACATATGGCTATTGGGCACTTGAAATATGGGTCTTCCCAACTGAGATGGTCATAAATGTGAACTACAAACTAAATTTCAAAGACTTAGTCTGGAAAAAAAAATACTATTTATAGTGATTATATGTTGAAATCATTTTGAAAAACGATGGATAGATAAAATACATTATACATTAATGGGTGTGGTCATGTGTGCCTGTAGTCTCAGCTATTTGGGAGGTGGAAGTGGTAGGATCACCTGAACCCAAGAGTTTGAGGCTGCAGTGAACTACGATCGTGCCACTGCACTTCAGCCTGGGCGACAAAGAAAGACCCTGTCTCTCTCTATATATATATCATTTAAAAAAATTTTAAAATAGGGCCAGGTATGGTGGCTCATACCTGTAATTCCAGTGTTTTAAGAGGCCAAGGTAGGAAGAATGGTGAGGCCAGGAGTTTGAGACCAGCCTGGGCAACATAGAAAGACCTCATCTCTATAAAAAAAATTTAAAAATTAGCAGAATGTGGTGGTGTGTGCCTGTAATCTGCTACTCTGGAAGTTGAGCTGGGAGGATCACTTGAGCCTAGGAGTTTGAGGCTACAGTGAGCTATGATCACCCCACTGCACTCCAGCCTGGGTGGCAGAGTGAGAGCTGTCTTTAAAAAAAATAATTATAATATTATGAGGAACAAGTATGTGCCCACCACTGCACTTAAGACAGACAATATCAATTCAGCAGAAGCTCTCATGAACTCTCTTCGGTCCTTTTCCTCTGCCCATGCCCTGGTAGGAGCCATTCTTGTGAATTTGGTGTTTATCACTCCCACGCATTTGTATGTTCATTCGATATGTGTTTCCAACAGAATGTAGAACCATGGTGTGTGTTTGAAACCTCATGTAAATGGTGGCATGATGCATGCATTCTTCTGGAACTTGCTTTTATTTTTCACTTAGCATTGTATTTTTTAGATTTATCCCTGCTGATACATGTGACTCTGGTCTTATATTTTCTTTTTTTTTTTTTTTTTTTTTTTTGAGACGGAGTCTTGCTCTTGTTGCCCAGGCTGGAGTGCAATGGCGCAATCTCTGCTCACTGCACCCTCTGACTCCCGGGTTGAAGCAATTTTCCTGCCTCAGCCTCCTGAGTAGCTGGGATGACAGGTGTCCACCACCACACCCAGCTAATTTTTATACTTTTAGTAGAGACAGGGTTTCACCATGTTGGCCAGGCTGGTCTCGAACTCCTGACCTCAGGTGATCCGCCCACCTTGACCTCCCAAAGTGCTGGGATTACAGGTGTGAGAAAGCCACCATGCCTGGCCTGGCCTTATGTTTTCACAACAGTACTCTATGGTATAAATAAGCTACAATGGGTTGATTCACATTTCTGTTGGTGGAAAGCGAGGTTTCCATCAATACTACAAACGACACTACCATAGACTCCCTTAAATACATCTCCTCCTGCTTGCCTGTGCAGGTAATTCCACAGCTGGAAGTGGAATCATTGGATAATATGGGTATGTGCACCTACAACTTCCCTGAATGTTGCAAAATTGTTCTCTGAAACAACTGTGTCATGTCACAGACCCACCAGCAGCATATTCTTGCCAACATTTAGGGGAGGCAGAGAGACACAATTTGGGAGAGGTCCACAGGGCTTTTCAACTGTAGTAATAGTGTTAATTGTTTAGATGGTATTCAAAAGAAGTATTCATTATATTTTTCTTCATCGCTAATTTCATGGAAAATATTTCATACAATTTTTATAAAAATGATTAACCCCTCCACGACAAAAGAGCACATCTGATCCTATTGCTGCCCTGCTTAGAAAATCTTCTATAAAATATGATTATTCATGGCCTTCAGG